ATATACACACACACACATATATAAAAAAAATCAAACCTGTTGCCGTTGAGTCAATTCCGACTCATAGAGACCCTATAGGACAGAGTAGAACTGCCCTATAGCGTTTCCAAGGAACAGCTGGTGGATTTGAACTGCCAAGCTTTTGGTTAGCAGCCAAGCTCTTAACCACTGCACCACCAGGGCTCCTTATACATATATATACACACACATACGTATATATATATATATGAGACTATATATATATATATATATACACACACACACACACACACATAGAGAGAGAGATTTATCTCAAGGAAATGGCTTACGCAGTTATAGAGGCTGAAAAGCCCCAGTCCATGGGTCAGGCACCAGTCTGGAAGCTTCTCCTGACTCATGTAGCTGCAGTGGCTAACAAACCCAAGATTGGCAGATCAGACAGCAAGACACTGGCTCGCAGGCTGTGGAGGCTGATGAGTCCCAAGATGAGCAGGCAATACAGCAGGCCACTGTTTCAAGTCCCAAGAACCAGAGGTCAGATGATGACAGGCCAGATGCAGAATCCAGAGCAAGCAAAAGCCAGCAAGCTTTGCCAGAAAGTCTATTTATATCGGATGCAGGCCACATCCCCAAAGAAATTTCCCTTACAACCGATTGGCTGATCACATCTTATCACATCATGGAGGTGATTATATCACAAAATGGAGTATAGCTACATCATTACATAACTGCCAAACTATATCATTACATAACTTCCAAACCACTGAGAATCATGGATTAGCCAAGCTGACACATAACCTTAACCATCACACTCTGTTAGAGAGTCACTAGCCCACTTGCTTTGGGGAGACCTCTATTTGCCTCAGAAAGGGCAGTGGTTTCAAATACCCAGAAATGTTAAGAATCATCAGAGGCAAACAGATGCTCAGTCACAGCTACCCAAAGCCCTTGCAGTTGCCCTATTTTATTTCTGCTTCCTTTCCTCAGTCCAGGTTTCCTATTTGTATTCTATTAGTCTCTGTTTATGTATAGGTTATGGTTAGCTAGCTCAAACTGTTATGTACAAATACACTTGCACTCTAACACGCACATAATAAATGATGACATTTACTATTTATTGGGTGTCTTTTATTTTCAAACATCATGCTAGGTGTTTTACATAATTGTTTCATTTAATTCTCACAAAAAGTCCTATGAGGTAGTTATTATTAACCCTATTTTAGGAATGATGAAACAGAGGCCTAGGAAGGTGAAGTCACACGCCCAAGGTTACAAACCTCATAAGAAACCCAGGTCTCCTTGAGTGTAATGCCCACACTGGTTTCCTCTACATCAGCTGACCTCTCTGTACCGGGCTTATCTGCTATTCAATGAGGAGCTTGTACTAGAAGATTTCCTGACTCCTGATTCTATTTGAAGTCTCTCTGAAAACTGATCAATAGCCTTTAAACTTAAAACTTATTTAGGAGAGTTAGCTGAGAAATGTTCTACTTGAAGAGAAGAGGATGTGGGTTGATTTCTGTGGGCACAAACAATACTATAATTTCAAATAGCTTTTGACAAAGGATTTCAATGAATTTTGTAATGTCAGAAAAGTCTACAAGTTAATCTTTACAACTTTTTGACGAGTATACTCAAGTCAACTCAAAAATTCAACGCTCGCTGGCCATCTAAGATACTCCACCGGTCTCACCCCTTCGGGAGCAAGGGAGAATGAAGGAAACAAGACACAAGGAAAAGATTAGTCCAACGGACTAATGGACCACAACTACCATGGCCTCTACCAGACTGAGTCCAGTACAACTAGATGGTGCCTGGCTACTACCACTGACTGCTCTGACAGGGACCACAACAGAGGGTCCCGGATAGAGCTGGAGAAAAATATAGAACAAATTTCTAACTCACTAACAAAGACCAGACTTACTGGTCTGACAGAGACTGGAGAAACCCCGCGAATATGGCCCCCGGACACCCTTTTAGCTCAGTGGTAAATTCACTCCCGAGGTTCACCGTTCAGCCACAGATTAGATAGGACCATAAAACAAAATGAGACTAAAGGAGCCAACAGTCCAGGGACGAGTTCTAGAAGGCAGGAGGGGACAAGAAAGCTGGTAATAGGGAAGCCAAGGTTGAGAAGGGACAGTGTTGACATGTCGTGGGGTTGTTAACCATTGTCATAAAACAATATGTGTACTAACTGTTTAATGATAAACTATTTGTTCTGTTAACCTTCATCTAAAGTACAATAAAAAAAAGGAAAAAAAATTTAAAAAAAAATTCAACACTCGCTCTGTGCTGCTTGTGTACTTGACTGTGTTAGATGAGTACTGCTGGCTGAGGCTTGGAGCAGGGGTGACTTTTCAAAGGGAATCAGGGAAAGAAAGGAAGCTGAACTCAGTGCTTCCGAGTCATAGGCTTTCTCCCCTGGAGTTGATAGTCAAATCAGGGGCATCCAATGATCATATCATTTTTCCCTGCATCCAAGTTTTCAGATTAATTTTTGATACCCAATTTTTAATAATTATATTTTCTGTTGATACTAACTACAGAATGAATACTGGCTTCAACAGTCATCCAACAGAGGAAGTTTGGCCTTGTCCTTGTAAATTGAAGCTAACCTTCTCCTTTTGCTTTCTTTTTACCTCATATCCTCACCCATTCTCCTTAAAGTGAATATGCATGGCAGCAGGGTCATGTCCTCAAAGACTAATCACAGCTAGTCCTGTGGAAACCCAGTCTATAGAAAAGAGCTCAAATAAAATGCTGAGAGAAATGCAGGTTGAGGGCAATGCTTTTTGCTGAATCTTTCACAATTCAGAGGCAAACTGCTCTTGTAAACACCACAGCCTTGAAAACTCTATGGGACAGTTCTATTCTGTCCTATAGGATCACTATGAGTCGGAGTCGACTCAATGGCACACAACCAAGAACAATGACCAGTCTTGATTTGAGACCTCTGTAATATCCATCTTTAACAACATTAATATTCCATGGGTGCAAAGCAACTGATCACTGAAGGGGGTTCCTAGCTGCCCACAGGGAGTTTGTGATTAAAGACGACAGTACATGAATGAGATGTGGAGGCCCAAGCACAGAGGACAGGACAAACGTCATCTTTCGAGTCTCCACTTAGGGAACAGGGAGTTTTATACACTATTAATATTTCAGAACATGATCCTTTCAGAACCATCAGCCATGCTACCAGAAGATTTAAACAACTTCACAATTATTTTATTACATCTGGATATACCTTATAAATAAAACAAAGCCAACAAATGCTGACTTCTGGAACAAATGCTTCCTGTACCACACCTTCCATTAGTCCCACTTCCTGGGTCTTCTTCTTCAGTTGCTTCTGTGACAAACTCCCACTCCTTCCTTGCACTCTTCCAGTAGTTAAACCCCTCACAATTTAACACTTGTCTGTATCCTGCCTTGATAGTGCATGAATTTCTTGCCTGTGCGTCTTATCTCCCCAACCAGGTTGGAGGGCTTTGCAGCTCATGGCCAGGCTCAGACATTTATTTGTCCATCCCATCTCAGTACAGTACTATCCCATCAATGAACCTTTATGATTGATTCTGGGACAATAAAATCATTTTACTGAAATATCTGTTATTGTTGTTGTTAGGTGCTGTCAAGTTGACTCTGACTCACAGCAACCTCACGTATAACAGAACAAAACTGCCTGGTCGTATACGATCCTCACAATCATTGCTATGCTTGAGCCCATTGTTGCAGTCACTATGTCAAATCCATCTCATTGAGGTTCTCCCTCTTTTCTGCTGATCCTCTACTTTTCCAAGCATGATGTCCTTCTCCAGGAACTGCTTTCTTTTGATGACGTATCCAAAGTAAGCAAGACAAAGTCTCACCATCCTTGCTTCTGAAGAGCATTCTGGCTGTACTTCCACCAAGAAAGATTGGTTCTTTCTTGTGGCAGTCCATCGTATACTCAATAATCTTCTCCAACACCACAATATGAATGTGTCAATTCTTTTTTCGTCTTCCTTTTTGATTGGCCTTTTTCATTATCTATACTACTTCTGATTTCCTACAGCTGGGCAGAGGAAGAGAGAATTGGCAAAAGTACTAGCAGAAAGAAATATTCATGGCAAATGGTCTGCGATGCTTACGAAGGACATGCTGTGTCCAGCCCACTACTCTGCTTCTCCTCACTGGCCTCCCCCTCAATGGAGGAAACTGAGGAGCTCATTCATTTAGAGAAAAGTCTCCTCCACATTGCTCCAAGAAAACCCAGCCCAAGGGGGTAAACCCTGGGAGACTGGTCTTCTCCAGAGGCCCTGCCTCTACTGTGACTAGGATAGTTGGCCCTGGAGGCAGTGAGGGTCAGTCACTCAGCAGACCTCCTGGGGTTCTCCTCTCTCCTGCCTCCTGATTGGCTGAATCTAGGGCAGATAACCCACCACCATAAGGTACTGATCAGGATTAGGGGTGCCTATTGCAAACCCACAGTCCACCAAAATGGAAAAGAAAGGGTAGAAAAATGTCTCAACAAAGAAAGGACTAGCTTTACAAATGGCTACAAAGTCCGAGCCGTGAGGGGAGGCAGGTTTTGTCCCTGTTCATCCTAATCTTCCAGAAGGCATCTGAGGCAGGGCAGACTTCTCGGGTACGAAGGTCACTGGCTCCACGGCCCCCATTCTCTGAGACCCCTGGGGGAAAGACTAAGCCAAAAGAAAAGCTGGGTCCAAGAGGAGCCCCTCTCCCGGCCCCTTCCTCATCTCTCGGAGGCAGGCCTTGTGTGGAAAAGCAAACAGGCCCAGGCCAGGGACCCTGCCCTTTGGACCTTTTGCAATTCGCTCGCAGCTCTTTAAGCCAGGGTTCTGTGGCTCTAGGAGTGGCCCTTATATAAACAGAGCTCACAGGCCGGCAGCGCATTCCCACCATCCGGCCAGCGGGGCGCAGAGCCTGTCTCGGAGCGCCTGTCCCTGAGGAGCCCCAGATCCGGCGAGGCCTTGGCCGCAGTGAGGCAGCCGCTCTCACCCAGCGGGTCTGCCATGGGCCCGCCAAGGCCGGCGCAGCTGCTGCTGCTGCTGCTGCTGCTCGCTGGAGGCGCCTCAGCCCGTGAGTGCGGGGTGGTGGGTCAGCTCGCTCTGTGTGTGTTGGGGTGGGAGACCCTTCCCCAGCTGGGGCAGCGCCTCATCACAGGCTCCCAAGCGGACGTGGGGGCGCCTGGGGTGAGGCTGGAGGGACTGGTCCAATAGGAGAAGTTATTTTAACAGCGGTGGCTGCAACCAGTGGCAGGGGCATTACTTAGGGCAGCTTAGTCCTGGGTCACAGGGAGGACAGCCTCTAGCCTGAACCTCCACAGGGTCACGAAACAGGGAGGGCAGTACCAACTGTGTGCCTCCTTCAGACTAGGGGTGGTAGGGTGAAAGGGCTGGAGAGTGGGTTCCCAGAACCTGGTTCTCTGGTGAAAGGGAAAAGACTCACACAGTGGTCCTCCCTGCCAGACCCCAGGGTTCATCTGGGAAGGCATGGGAAAACCCACAGTGTTCTTTCTCCTTTTCTTACAGAATACGAAGTGCTGGAAAACATCAGCCCGAGCTGTCCAAGTAAGGCATTTCCCCACTGGGCATGGAAGGACCCCTCTGCACCCACCAGCCTATCCTTCTGCACCTCCACTCACCAAAGGCCCCCCACTCTACAGTGCTGGGATGCTGTGGGGGTGTGCAGTGATCTGACCTCACAGGAAACAAGTCCCTTGCATTTCTGCCCACCCCCAACGGATCTCAACTCTCCTCTTCCTGACCTTTTGTTCTGCCCTAAAAGCTTACTCTGGGGGTAGGAGGAAGATAGGACTGTAGCTCTGTTGACCCGTGGACACTTTAAAGTGAGCATAACCAACCTGTTTATCAGTGACTAAGCATTGATTTGAAGCACGAGGGTGAGGAAATGCTGACTTTAACCTCTGTGCAAAAACCCAGACTCTCACCCCCACATATTTACCTGACTCCTAAGGGTCAAAACAGCCGGCCTTGCAAGTACCCTGTGTTCTCCCGAAACGGCCAGTGTTGGCCTCCATGGGGTAGCACTGCCATCTGGTGGGCTTATGCTATCACTGCATGCAGGTTCATGATCCAGATGTTCTTGGCCATTTTTCCCTCAAACTTGTTCAGAAAATTCCTCTGAAGCACTGTAGAAATCTCCAGAAATTTACTTCTGTAGGCTTCTTAAGCCATTCAGATAACCCTTACCCTTAATGAATTTCCTCAGGCATTTGATAGAATTAAAAAAGTCACAGAATTATATTTTCAAACCAAAAAAGGCAGTACAGATAACATCCGTTTTGCTCAATGCTCTCAAGTCTTAGTTTTTGAGAGTCTCTTTCTATAAATTTTCTGAGACCAATTCACTCACACTCTCTTCTCTGCATCACAGATGACATATTCAAGGAATGCCAGTTAATTTAAATGTTGTTGTGTGCCGAGTCATAGTGAGCCTATAGTACAGAGTAGAACCACCCACATAGGGTTTCCAGGGAAGGCACTTTGGTGGTACAGTGGTTAAGAACTCAGCTGCTAACCAAGAGGTCAGCAATTTGAATCCACCAGCTGCTCCTTGGAAACCCTATGGGACAGTTCTGCTCTGTCCTATGGGGTCACTCTGAGTCGGAATTGATTCGATGGCAATGGGGTTCTTTTTTGGAATCTACAAAAGCAGACTGTCACATCTTTCTCCTGTGGAGTGGCTGGTGGGTTAGCAGACAAGCTCTTAACCACTGTGCCACCAGGGCTTTAGCCTCAGCAAAAGCATAATTACAAAAAACAAAACAAAAAAACAACCCATTGGCATCGAGTCGATTCAGACAAGTAGGAACCCTATAGGACAGAGTAGAATTGGCCCATAGGGTTTCCAAGGAGTGGCTGGTGGATTCGAACTGCCAGCCTTTTGGTTAGCAGCCATAGCTCTTAACCACTGTGCCACTAGGGCTCCAAAAACATAATAGAGAAGTTAAATCTATAGAAGAAAATTAAGTATTATGCAGTCAATTAAAAATACTTTGAGTCTCATTACCATTTTTGATTATGTATGCCAATGCTCCTTTCTGCCCAGAATTGACTGTCCTTGGGAGAGTTTTTTCTGCTATGTGGCTGACTGGCTGACTAATTTATCTTCATTTTAGAAGATGCAACTCGATTCAAGCACCTCAGGAAGTACGTTTACAGCTATGAGGCTGAGAGTTCCAGTGGAATCCCTGGGACTGCTGATTCAAGAAGTGCCACCAAGATCACCTGCAAGGTACGAAGAGGTGCTGGAGTAACCTGGAGCCAGCGGCTTTCCCCAGCCATGCTTGGCCATGTGCCCTGGACCTTCCAAGAGGCTGTGTGCTGACAGACCCAGCACATACCACGACTGTTGTTCTGGGACCAGCCCTCACTTTGTAAATCAGCCACGTTGCTGAAAAGTTGTCAGCCACAGAAGATGTTACCATTCAAATTTGTTTTGCCATTAGCTTCAAAACTATAGTTGGAGTACATACTCTAAAATGGCAGCACTGCATGATGGTAGATTTGAATGTGATGGGAGAAGCCCAGTGGGTGGGCCAGGGGAGGTGGGCGTCTCAGGAAAGCACTGTGGTGTGCAGTTTTTATAACCTAAGTCAAACAGAATCAATTGCTGCAAACAAAAAGAAAATTTTTAAAATATAGTTTATTCTAAAATAAAATTGTCTGCTTATTATTCGGAAGCCCTGGTGGTGTAATGGTTGAAAGCTACAGCTGTTAACCAAAGGTCGACAGTTTGAGTCTACCGAGCGCTCCTTGGAAACTCTTTGGGGCAGTTCTACTCTGTCCTGTAGGGTCGCTATGAGTCGGAACTGACTTGACGGCAATGGGTTGAGTTCTACTTATTATTGAGACTGGCTGTACTTACATCCATATGCATATGGAGCAGATGCAAAGAAAGGCTGCTACTAGGGTGGGTGTGGGGAAGAGAGGGCAAGGATATGACTGAGAAGTTGTCCTCTTCTTTATAGGATTCCATTGCCTGCACTCTGCGTGTGGCTATTTAAACTAAATAAAATTTAAAAATCAGTTTCTTAGTCACACTAGCCATATTTCAAGTACCCAATAGCCATATGTGGCTAGTGGCTACCATATTGGACAATGCAGATATAGAACATTTCCATCATCACAGAAAGTTCTTTGAACAGCACTGGATAACAGTTAGGGATGTGTTTAAATTCCAGCTATGTGTGAAGCTCTAAACAGGCCCTGATAGATACAAGCACGTTTTTTAGGGTTTTTTTTTTTTTTTTGGTGGGGGGTTGATATTAAGAAAACATTTGCTGTTGAAACCAAGGATAGCCTTCTTCCTGCCCCATGTGTTTCTTTTTAACTCTTTCTCCTGGTCTTCATTTTGTCTAAGTAATAACACCTCTTTATAAGTAAACTAGGCAAATTTAGACCCAATAAAAGGATATCCTCCTTCACGTGCATTGGGGCCCACTTAAAAAAAATTTGTATCCCAGGACGTGAAAATGGCCAAAAGTAGGGCTAAGTCTAGACTGGTTCATGGAGGCATGTTAAGGAGACATGTGATGTTGGGGGGCAGTCATGTTCTCAACAGCATCTCCCTTGTCCTGATTAAAGACTAAGCCCTGGGATGTGAGGGGGATCTGTGTTCTTGTTGGAGAATCTCAGTGTGCTGTTTCCTTCTACTCTCAGGTCCAGCTGGAGGTCCCCCAACTCTGTAGCTTCATCCTGAAGACGAGCCAATGTACCCTGAAAGAGGTGTATGGCTTCAACCTTGAGGGCAAGGCCTTGCTGAAGAAGACCAAGAACTCTGAAGAGTTTGCAGCTGCCATGTCCAAGTAAGGCATGGGACCATCCACTTGAGTGGCTGAGCTCTGTGCACCACTGCATGTTTTGTGAATGCGTGTGTATGTATGTGTTTGTGTGTCCACTGAGGTGTGAATGTGTGTGCCCATATTAGGCATGTATTTAAGTATGAGCCTTTGTATTCTGTATTCACCATGGATCAGGGAATTGCCTTCTGTGTCTGAGCTTCCACAACTATCGAAAAGAGGAAAGTGTTGCTGACTCTCCCAGTTAAGTTCCCTTAATTAACAATTAAACATGTTTCTCAAAGATCACATGTTTTAGACTCATTGAGACAGTAAAGTGGAAATAGTTTGGTTAAGCAAGTTAATTCTTGTTTCAAGAATTAAACACGAATGGTGCCTGCTGGTCCTGGGTGTGGTCCTGGGTTGTGGGTCCCAGCAGGATGTGTTGCCATGGCCTGCATGTGGCCAGTGCAGTGTCTGCTTGGGGAGGGCAAGGCCCAGGCTCAGAGAGGCAGGGGAGAGCCAAGGCTTTAGCCATTCCCCTCCCCAGGGTAACATACAGCCAGTGCATGGTGATGAGGACATCCCTATGGTTCACAGCTGGTGTCTCTTCTGATGGATCAATTCCCGTGTTGTACCAAGTGTTTAATATTTTGAACACCACCTCTCCCTCAACCCCAGACCAAAGTTTGTAGTTTCTTAGTGTGTGCAAATATAAACAGTCATAGATTTGTTCATTTGGTAGCATCAGAATACTCTCCCTCCCTGTACATCTTTTGGTTAGCTGAACATTAGACGTGGAAACCTGTCCTTTCTCTGCAAAATATGCCTTGGTGCCATCTATCTTTCACCAATATAGCTTATCTTATCTGAGACATGTGGGGGGCGGAGCAGGGGGAAGTGGTGGAATGATCCCTTTCCTTCTTTTAAACAAATGAACTCCTTTTCTTGACTACCCCTAGGCTGTCCAGGCTGTGTCTTGGGTCCAGAACTTCCTGAGAGGGTGCAGAGGCTATAGGAGACACACCTGGTCTCCTTTTCCTCTTTTTGACTTAACTAGAGCAGGTACAGTCAGGCCCTTTGAAACCCAAATATTCCCCAAAGTGAAATCCTTACTCTTCCACCACCAGTTCCCTAAGGCCAAAGTCAACCCAGGCTTCAGACATGGCCCTCCCAGTTGCCTTTGAGTGGATTCCAACTTATGGCAATCCCATGTGTGTCAGAGTAGAACTGTGCTCCACAGGATTTTCAGTGGTTGATTTTTCAGAAGTAGATCACCAGGGCTTTCTTCCAAGGCATCTCTGGGTAGGTTCAAACTGTCAACCTTTTGGTTAATAGATGAGTGCTTAACCATTTGCACCACCCAGGGCCTCCTTCACACGTGGCTGGAGACTGTATAAAAGAGTGAATATCAACGAACATATGAAAAGAAACTCAAATTCACTAGTAACCAGGAAATGCAAATAAATGTAACAATGAGATATCTATCATTTTATACCAATCAGACTTTAAAACATCTGTAGCACCTGTTGCTGGCAGAGTATGGGGAAACATGTACTCTCATGCATTGCTGTTGGAAATGAGAGTTGTTAAGCAATATCTATTATAATTAAAATACTTATACCTTTTGACGTGGCAATTTCAGTCTCTGGGACTCCAGCCCATAAAAATAAAAACAGCAATGCATGAAGATAGATGTCTAAGGATGTTTATTTCAGTGTTATTCTTGTGGCAAAAAAAATTTTTTTAAATAAATAAATAAAGTGAATGCCATCAAATAGGAGAATGTCTGAATAAATTCTATATAACTAGAGAGTGGAAAGTTATGCAAATTTTTAAACACACTAGAGCTATACCAAATGACCCACAAGGATTTTCATGGCATATAATTAACTGAAAAAAGGGAAATGATTTAAAGAGTGCATGGTATGATCCCATTCATATGAAACAATGACAAAAATCTTTATATTTATAGGCTTATACCCACATACATCTATATAGGATGGCATGAGTCTGGAGATACATATGGAACACTTACCATGTTGTTTATCAGGGTGACAGTTGAGAACTATGGGAGCAGAGACTAATGTGGGTGGAGGACAGAGGACATGAGATGGACGAGCCATGCAAAAAAGAAAAATTTTAAAATGCCAACATGTGTATATATATATTTGTATACTGTTTTGGAAATGTATGTATATTTATAAATCAATGTTGTAAAAAGAAGAACAATACATAAGAAAGAGCCTGCAAAGCCACCCCAGCTTGCTTCCAGCAGTCTCCCAGCAGACTCCTATAGAGATGTGTGTGGGTGTAAGCTATCATTGTTTTATATGAATGGGATTGTTTTATGCACACCTTTCTATCTTTCTTTTCTCACCCCTCTATGACCACTCTCTCTCTTTCTCTGGGACAGGAACGAGCTCAGGCTGACCATTCCTGCAGGGAAGCAGGTTTTCCTTTACCCAGGGAAGGATGAACCCAAACACATCCTGAACATCAAGAGGGGCATCATTTCTGCCCTTCTGGTTCCTCTGGAGACAGAAGAGGCCAAACGAGTGTTGTTTATGGTGAGAATTTGGAAAACTCGTAATAGTGGCTTTTAAACTCATCTTCTTCACACATTCCAGACCAGCCCCACTATGTGCATAAAGTGGATCATTGGCTTAGCTACACGGCTAGTTATACAGGAGACGTTCTACCTGGGGTGTACAGGTGTGAAATACCAGTGCAGTGGCCGGATTGCCCGGGCCTCTTCCCGTCCCACCTATAACTACCACCAAGGCTAAGAAAGTGGTACCCCCTTGGACTGACGGTTCACCCCTAGCAGGCTGATGGTGTTGGATGTAATTTAAAAGCAGTTACTGGGGTGTCCTGACCACCTGCTCCCTGATTTTGTTTGATTTGTTCTCCCTTACCATGAGATATAACGCAGTAAAGCCTGGGTGTATGTATTGTAAACACCAAAAGTAATTGAGTATGATGCCAGCCTCTTTTAAGAACTTCAGGTTTCAACCTTAGAAAGAATTCCATTTTCTTCAGTCCCACAGATGTTCTCAAGCTCTTACTGTGTTCTAGGTTCTATACTAGACTATTCCTGGAGAGTACAGAGATGCCCCTGCAGACCTTTCCTCGGGGAGTCCTCGGGGCCTGGGGGGAGAGCCTAGACACATATAACACAAAGCAGAATGGCTTACATGCTGTAATGAGCAAGACAGAAAATGCTCTGAGAGCACAAATAGAGAGTCAGAGTTGGCTGGCTCCTGGAGGCAAGACAGGTGTGCCAGCCTCCAGCCCCAGTACCACCCTTAACTGGTTTTCTCTTTCCCAACTCTGGCTGTCCAAGTATCAGCAATGGCCACACCCCACAGAAGAAGCACTATTGCAAATCCTATGTTGCTTCTGCCTTCTCCCAGTCTCCTTCCCCAGCCTTCCCAAAGCACTACGGATTTTGTCCCCATCATTGAATGTACCGGTTGTATCTTCTGCTCCCATAGGATACTGTATACGGAAACTGCTCCAGTGACTTTACCGTTAAAACAAGGACGGGAAATGTGGCGACAGAGATATCCATTGAAAGAAACCTGCAGAAGTGCGATGACTTCAAGCCCATCAGCACAGGCGTTAGCCCGCTTGCTTTCATCAAAGGCATGGTAAGTCTCACGTCAGCATTGTTCTTCACAGTAAGCATTATCCTCTTTATTATCAAAATTCTGTTCCAGACAGTAGGTATCTCAGAGAAGAACCTAGCCATTCTGTTCTTTATACAGCGAAGGACTGCCAAGGTCTTATGGCCCATTACTAACTGAGCCAGGACTAGGCTCAGGTTCCAGACTCCTAGTCCGATGCTCTTGTCCTTCTTGCTGTCTTTCTGTCACTGTCTTTCTGTAAATCCTTTGCTATCGTTTGAGAGTAATCACTGGGGAAGGCTCTGGGGCTTGACATAGGACCAAAAACATACTACTGCTTCTTCCTATGCAAGGACTGGAAGTCCCCAGCTCCAGCCTCTGGCCTCAGAGAAAGTCTCGAGATGTGCATTTACTCATCCTCTCCCTCACCCCCGTAAAGTGGCACTGACTAAGCCAAAGTGTTCCAACTTCATGTCCTTCCACCCCATTTATGACCTGGATTAAAGTCTGGCCCCTCTGCCTCCTGCCCGGGCCATGCCCTTAGTGCTGACCTTCTCTCCTATTAACTAAGGTCATGGAGCACCATATGACCTAAGCTTGCTCAACCCCTACCCTTGTAACACCTTCCAGGATATAAGATACAAGTCGTCTCAGTAAACATGAGGGACTTGAGCAATCATTGCCATGCCCAGCCATGTTCCTGGCCATAGTCCTTGGGGCCGAAAACAGGGAGTCCAATGACCAGAAGGACCACTGGTTTTTGCATCTTTTCTGAGCACCTGCTGTGTACTCAGCCCCACTCTTGGCAGTACTGAGGGAGGGATCTTGGCAGATGAGCCATGGACCTGTGCCTCAAGATGCTGACACTCTAATGCAGGAACAAGGTTTATACACATGCCAATAAAGGACGACATAGGGTGTACCCCAAGGAGGTAATAAACTGAGCAGTACAGGTGAGCAGTCCTAGGGAGGAGAAAGGACTAGTCACATAGCTCACTGGGCCTAAAGTTTCATGGAAGATGTGGAACATGGATCTGAAAAACACGCACACACAAACAAAACAAACCCACTGCCGTCGAGTTGATTCTGACTCATAGCAACCCTATAGGACAGGTAGAACTGCCTCATAGGGTTTCCAAGGCTGTAAATCTTTGCAGACTGCCACATCTTTCTCCCACAGAGTGGCTGGGTTCGAACTGCCGATCTTTTCGTTAGCAGCCAAGCACTCCAACCACTGTGCCACCAGGGCCCCAGAAAAACACAAAACCCAAACCAAACCCATTGCTGTTGAGTTGATTCCGACTCATAGCAACCCTGCAGCACAAAGGACATGTAAATGGGAGAGATACATGAGAAAGGGCTTCTAGGCAAAGGAAAAATTATTGGTGCTGTGTTAGCGGAGTCCCTGAGTGGCACAAATGATCAAGCGCTCGACTACTAGATAGAAGGTTGGTGGCTCGAACCCACCCAGAGGCGCCTCGGAAGACAGGCCTGTGGTCTGCTTCCAAAAGGTCACCAAAAACCTGTTGCTGTTGAGTCGATTCCAACTCACAGCCATTGAAAACTCTGTGGAGCACAGTTCTACTCTGACACGTATGGGGTCGCCATGAGTCAGGATCGACTCATAGACAACAGTGTGTGCAGTGTTACGTGTTGGATACAAGGTGTATACTTTGTGCAGGATGGGAAGTCCATTGAGATGAGGTAAAAAGATTCTATACCTTAACTCAGATTTGGGGACACCAAGTTGTTGCATCCCCTTTTCTAAATGCCAAATATCAAGATCAAAAATGTCGGCAGTTTGAATCCACCAGCCGCTCCTTGGAAGCCCTATGGAGCAGTTCTACTCTGTCCTATAGGGTCACTGTGGGTTGGATTTGAATCAACAGCAACGGGTTTTTTGGTTTTTATCAAGTGGCACAGTACTCCCTTGAAGGTGTAACAGAAGATTCAGGTTCAAGCCACGAGGACTGATTAAAATACTTTTACCCAACTTCGTGCACAGATCCGCCCCTTGTCAACTCTGATCAGCAGCAGCCAGTCCTGCCAGTACACCCTGGACCCCAAGAGGAAGCATGTATCAGAAGCCATCTGCAAGGAGCAACACCTCTTCCTGCCTTTCTCCTACAAGTAGGTCACCTGCTGTACCCTTGACTCATCATTTAGATGGTCAGTGTGAACTGTTCCAACTAGCAAGGGGGCTCCAAAGAGGTACAAGGCAGACAGACCCTAGTCCTATTCCCCTTCCCAGTCCTATTCCCCTTCCCAGGCTCACAGGCAATTTGGCAGAAAAGCCTTATACATTCAAAGCAATTCATGATCGACAAAAGATATCCCAGACCTAGACGTTAAGGGCTGTATATCAGGACAAAGCTGGGGATCATTACATGCTGCCCTGGTTAGAAAAGGAGGATTTGAGATTTGGACTGGAGATATGCATACTCAATCCATTTTGAAAACTTGTCAATCAACTCATATTAATTGAGTAACTACTATATTCTGGGCACTGTGCTGTGGGACACACAAAAGAATTTCAATGCACAGTGCCAGTCCCTACCCTCTGGGCACTCCAGACCAGTGGAGAGTGGAAGGTACATATCCTTCTGATGGGCAGATGGCTAGCATGACCAAGAGGGCTGACTACTGTTTATTAGAGGAGTCTGAGACAGCTGGATTTAACCATGCTTTGAAACATGGGCAGGATTTGGGTAGAGACAGAAGGGGAAACATTGAACGTGAAAAGAAGAGTGTGCTGGGGAAACCAGGGAGGCTGGCCATCAATGACCTGACCCACTTCCTTTGTTACCAGGAATAAATATGGAATGATGGCACATGTTACACAGTCTTTGAAACTTGAAGACACACCTAAGATCAACAGTCGCTTCTTTGGTGGAGGTAGGCCTTTATGTCCATATGATTGCCAAAGCTGGGAGATGTACCCATGACACAGCAATCATAGCTTAGCTCTTGGCTGGGCCTTGTTAACGGTCCACTGATGAAGGAGTTAAGTGGACTCTGGTATTCTGGTTGCTGAGCTACCTCTAGTGAGAAAGCTTATTCATTTCAAAACATCAAGTGGCAAGGGGGTAAAAAGGGGGCGTAGTTTCTCAAAGCTCCCAAGGTTTTCGTAAGTGGGACATCTGACTAGGAACTGATGTCCTAAGCTAATGTGACCCCTTTAGTAGGCTGACAACATCATACACCCCATGATGAGGTTGCAGGGCCGCGTGCAGCAGCCTGAGGCCTGGATATGGTGGGGCATATGGAAGAGGACATTTAGAGTCAGGCCAGGTAATAATCTCAGGACAGTCAGTCTTTAGAAATGGAAGGGTCTTTAGAGATCTCTAGTCAACTCTAATGGAACCCTAGTGGCATAGTGGTTAAGAACTCGGCTGCTAACCAAAACGTCAGCAGTTCAAATCCACTAGCCTCTCCTTGGAAACTCTATGGGGCAGTTCTACTCTGTCCTATAGGGTTGCTATGAGTCGGAACCGACTAGACGGCACCTAACAATAACAACAAAGTCAGCCCTAACCCCTGCATTTGTATTGTATTGAAGCCTGTCAGACCTCTTTCCTATATTATTACCTCATTGTATAACATGGCAACTTGTGATGTCATGTAGTAGGAACATGTGCTTTTATAACCATTCTACAGAGGGGAAAATTACACACAGAGAGGAGTAGTGGTTTATTCAAGGCCATAGACTATTAGAGGCGGTGCAGAATTAGCCCCCAGGTGTAAGCTAAGTCAGGTCTTCAGGTCTCTACCATTACACTCCACTTCCATGCTGACTTTCACCCTCTCCCTGGCATGTCGCAGAGCAGGGTGATGGGGAGAACACAGGAGCATCTCCCCTGACCACAATCTCCAGTAGATCCGGTAAGAGGAAATGGTGGGTGACGTTCAATGAGTCTCAGCCTCAGCTGTAGCCATGTCAGCAGCAGCCCCTCCTCACCAGTTCCTTCCAGCAAAGAAGTAACCTGATACTGGATTCAGACAAGCCTCACTCTGCTGCTTAATCCCAGTGTGTTCTTGGGCAAGTTAAATTGGTTCCCTTATTTAAACAGGACAGTTCTACTCTGCCCTATAGGGTTGCTAAGAGTCAGAATTGACTTGATGGCAATGGGTTTGGTTTTGGTTTGGTTATCTTTAAACTGAGGAATGCCACTAACCTGCAGGAGTATTTGGTGATTCACTGAAAAAACTTAAGTCAAACTTCTAGCACAGAGCGCTTAATAGGATAATGTTCACTCTTTTCTTCTCTGATGATACTCCTCCAATGACCAGGTTCCAGTATATGAAGATGTGGTTGAGATGCAGAGGTAAACAAGAACTCCTGTGACACACTTCCTTCTTCCAGGTGACAAGGAGGTGGGCCTCGCATTTGAGAGCACCAAGTCCACATCACCTCCAAAGCAGGCAGAGGCCATTTTGAAGACCCTCCAGGACCTACAAAAACTGTCAGTTTCTGAGCAGAATGCCCAGAGAGCTAACCTCTTCAGTAAGCTGGTTACTGAGCTGAGAGGCCTCAACAATGAGGCAGTTGCATCCCTCTTGCCAAGGCTAATTGAAGTGTCCAGGTATTTCTTTAACATTGCACCTTAATGTCTCATATAACTTATGGTAACTGACTGAACTTTTAAACCTTGGCCAAATAGAGAATCTACCTTCTCGGGCACCATTTAAATATCAAATTAATCAGTCAATCGGTTAACGTTTGCTGGATAGAGAAATATCAGCCAAGGTGTCTTACCTCAGTAAGCTTAGAGTTCTTTGGGAAACACACACACACACACACACACACACTCACACACACACACACTGCATTCAAGGCAGATATGTATTTGTGTGTTAAAATAGGGGGGAAATAAGAGGAGAAATGGTAGTGTCTAAAAATCAGAGCTGCAATCCCCACATTTCGATGGACATCTTCTAAATTCCTAGCTCAATTCTAATTGACTACTCTGGGAAGTCTGAGAGAAAAAGAAGTCTGTGTCCTCCAGGAGCTAATAGGTTAGGTAGAGAGAGCACTCAGGCAAATAAATAATAATATGATTCATCTCCACTTCATGTCTGTAAGTGCTCCGAGGGTCAGAGAACGGACTGAGCAAGGGAAGCCTTCATGGTTCTAGGAATCTGAGTTGGATTTTAAAGATGTTTGGATTTGGATAGTGAATGAAGGAACGCCATGGGCAAAGGATAGTTTGTCTGCCTTGAAGGTGGTCCATGTAACTTTCTACTCTTTTCTTCTCAGCCCCATCACTTTACAAGCCTTGGTTCAGTGTGGGCAGCCCCAGTGTTACATTCACATCCTCCAGTGGCTGAAAAATACGAAAGCCCACCCCCTTCTGATAGATATTGTAACCTATTTGATGGCCCTAATCCCAGAGCCCCCTGAAGAGAGGGTGCAGGAGATCTTCAACATGGCGAAGGAGCAGTACAGCCGGGCCACCTTTTATGCCCTGAGCCACGTGGTCAACAAGTGAGTGGGTTTACATTGTACTTCGCCTGTCGGGGGTGAGGAAGACCCCACATCTCTATACTAAAATTGTACCTCTCCCTTCACTTCCAAACTCTTGTGCTTACTGTTTTGGTTTTCTACTGATCATTTTGAGAGCAATGGCATGCAATAAGAAATCAGCAAACACAAGTCTGGATTTTAAGAGAAACCTAGATAGGCTTGCTGAGTCCTAACTCTCTTCCTTTATTCTGTAGCTATCATAAGATAACCCCACAGACGACGCAAATCCTGTTGGACATTGAGGATTACCTATTGACACAGATTCAAAATGACTGCACTGGGGACAAAGATCACACCTACTTGATTCTGAGGGTACAATTTTGCATAATACATTTCGTTTCAGAAATACTTTCCCTGAACACCCCTCCCTCCTCCTTCTGCACCCTGATGCCAGCTTGTCTCTTTTCTTCAATGCAGGTCATTGGAAATATAGGCAGAGCCATGGAGCAGGTGAGCCCAAGACTGAAGTCTTCAGTCCTGAAATGCATCAGAAGCACAGAGCCATCACTGCTGATTCAGAAAGCTGCTATCCAGGCCCTGCGGAAAATGGAATCTAATGAAGAGGTAAAGTCCACAGGAGGTCTGAAAGTGAGACGGTTACTCAGATTAACAAGGATTTGGAGGGTGTCAGGGAACAAGGTTCTAAATATCATCATTCTACTGACTATTCTAAAAAGTCTGTTGCCATCAAGTCGATTCTGACTCATGACTTTATTCTACTGCTTACTAGTTGCAAAATTCAACACGTCTATTGACCTGACTGGAGCCCTGGTGGCACAGTGGTTAAGAGCTCGGCTGCTAACCAAGAGGTGGGCAGTTCAAGTCCACCAGCCACTCCTTGGAAACTCTATGGAGCAGTTCTACTCTGTCCTATAGGGTCACTATGAGTCAGAATCAGCTCTCCAGCAATGGGTTTATTGACTTGATTGCCAAGTAATACGTTCACATGAGAGAAATATTTGACCTTGCTGCTACTCTGACATGCAGAATATGAGGTTTAGTTGCATGCTGTTCTCTTACCAGATTTACCATCACTCTCATCTTGGGAGAGCTTACCTGACTCTCCCCAATATCCCCAAACTAGGGTGGTCAACCTGGTCCTACCTTAAGTGGCAATGGCTCTTTGGAAATGATATTATTTATTAGCCCCAAACTCTCACTAATCCTGCAAAACTTTACCTTCAAATTGAAATAACGTATGCTAAAACCACTCTTTTTTTACTTAGCGGCAGATCCCCAAACTAGTCATAACTTGGCCATAACTTGTGTATTTTAATGTAATTTAATTCCACTTGTTATCTGGTAGGAGTCTTCCAGGAACCCTCCCTTGATCTGGCTGCTCTGGAGAACACTGGAGAGAAGATTCAGCACCAGATCTAAACACTTATTAGGGAGAAATTAGACTCACACATAAGAAAAAGCTAGTAGACCATGCCAGTGTTTGCCAGGCAGGTTTGGTGTTCTGACCAAAGGACAGTGATAATATAACAGTCTCATCTTTGGCTACAGGTCCAGGAAGCCCTTCTTCAGGCTTTCCTTGATGGTGCCTCTCCAGAGGATAAGAGACTGGCTGCCTATCTCATGCTGATGAGGAAGCCTTCCCAGGCAGATATTAACAGAATTGTCCAACTTCTACCACGGGAACAGAATGACCAAGTAAAGAATTTTGTGGCTTCCCACATTGCCAACATCTTAAACTCAGAAGAATTGTATATCCGAAAGTAAGTAAGACTAATTTTCCCCCATCTGCCACAGAGGGCCCTGGGTTGGAATTCCAAAGTTCCATGCTGGTAGAGCCACCACCTGCTTTTTATAGAATGTGCTTTCTTCTGTAGCAAACATTTGTGTAAATTTGTAGCACGCTCTGAGCCAAAGTCTTGGGGAAAACAAACCTGAGTAGTTTGGTAGCAAATGAAAATCTATATTCACTTGGGTAAGAGAGACAATGGCTAAATGGCATGGTGTGTCAACTCAAAATATGCTATTTCTTTTCATCTAGTCTGAAAGCGTTACTGGAAGAAGCTCTAAAAGGATCTCAACTTCCAACAATCATGGATTTCAAAAAATTTTCCTGGAACTATCACTTTTCCAAATCTGTTTCCCTTCCATCATTTGACCCAGTCTCTGCCAAAATTGAAGGGAATCTTATATTTGATCCAAATAATTACCTTCCTAGAGAAAGCATGCTGAAAACCACCCTCACTGTCTTTGGATTTTCTCCAGCTGACCTCTTCGAGGTATGTGTGATACTGAATCCTCTAGCCTATTCTGTACAAGACTGTAAATAGGAAGTCAGGGGATCAGTGAGCCAGCGTGGGAAGGAACAAGAATCATCAAGCAGTTTGTACCATCGCTTTGAGGTCTTCTTCCCCCCACCTCCCTTTCTTTCCTTTCTCCCTCTTAGGGGTAATCTGAAGCATGTCTCCTTAGGATAAATGTAAATGCAGATGTCTGAACTTTGAAGCCCTTAAACCCAAAACCCAAGGAAATCCATGGACAGTAGAGTTAGATCTGGTCCAAACCCCAAGTCCAATCCCAGCGCTGTATCCTTGGTTTCATTATCTCCTCTCTGAACCTTAGCTTTTCTCTTTTGTAAAAATGTAAGTAAGTTCTGCCTTTCAAAATTCCAGTGAGATTTAAATAAGACAACTTCTATGAAGTGCTAAGCTCAGTTCCTGCCCTGTAGTATTCATCAATACTTCTTTAATTAAATGGATATAAATAGAGAAATGGGAGGCTGACATACAATGAAGAAACATGATGGAGTTTCCTTGTCTGGTTTTCTGCTCTGTTCTCAGATTGGTTTGGAAGGAAAGGGCTTTGAGCCAACATTGGAAGCTCTCTTTGGGAAGCAAGGATTTTTCCCAGACAGTGTCAATAAGGCTTTGTACTGGGTTGATGGCCAAGTTCCTTCTCAGGTCTCCAAGGTCTTGGTGGACCACTTTGGCTACACCAAAGATGATAAACGTGAGCAGGTATGTATTTGTTAATTACCCTCTCAAGGAAAGATTTGGGTCTCAATGCAAAGACATTCTTACTAATGCCTGGAAATCATCAAGGTACTATGTAACTGATATTGCTGAGAAATAATAAAACTCGTTGCTGTCGAGTCGATTCCAACTCATAGCAACCCTATAGGACAGAGTAGAACTGCCCCGTAGGGCTTCCAAGGAGCAGCTGGTGGATTCAAACTGCCAACCTTTTGGTTAGCAGCTGAGCTCTTATAGCTGTGGCTATTATTAACCAGCCCTATGAGTCCCTGGGTTGCACAAATGGTCTGTGGTCAACTACTAACCTAAAGATTGGTGGTTCATACCCACCCAGCAGTGCCGTGGAAGAAAGGCCTGGAGATCTGCTTCCATAAAGATTACAGCAAGAAAACCCTATGGAGCAGTTCTACTCTGTAACACATGGGGTCACCATGAGTCGGAATTGACTCCATAGCAATAGGTTTGAGATTTTTTGGTTTATACGGGTGAGGGCCACTAACCACTGCAGCTATGGGCATCCTGATTCAATATGCTCTGGAACTAGACTCATTAGAGGCATTCTAGAACATTGATTAAGAGTGTGAGCTTTGGGGCATAGATTTGAATTCTAGCTTAAGTGACTTCAAGCTGTGCAAACCTGGACAAGTTACTTGATATTATGTGAATCCATTTCCTCATCCCCAGAGTGATAATGATATATATCTCACAAGATTATTATAAAGGTTGAATAAAAAAAAATGTGTAAAGTGCTAAACATAGTGCCTTGATACTGGTACTGATTGTTCAATAAGCAGATACTGTTATAATTCTTTAATTAATACTCTTATTATTATTAACTGCTTTCTTTGGCTCTCATAGCAGTGCACTAGCTAAAGGGAGCAAAACCCACCTTGAAACTAGTCTCAGCTCCCCACCTTAGAAGCAGAAAATAGTTTGTATAATCTGAAACTTCTCAGTGTGGCCTGGTCATGAGCAATATGTCAGAGTTTGTTAGAAATGCAGGCCCCTAGGCCCCACCCCACACCTACTGAGTCAGAATCTGCATTTTAACAAGATCCCTAGAGGATTTCTAAGCAAGCTTAGCTTTGAGAAGCATGATTCTAATTTATTCCTAGATGCTCACAGGTAGCCCCACCTCTATCTTCTGTTTTACTTACCTCAACTTGAGGCTAAGTGTCTTTGATCTGTTTTGAGTCTGTTAATCTCTTCTTTCCTAATGCCTAGGCCACAGTCTGTGCTATTCTTCCTATCTCTAGACCTTTGCCTAAGATCAGGTGTTTTTAAACCTTTGGCCAATTTATATAGCAGCTGTATTTTTCAAGAAACCCCTAGTATACTTCCCTAGTCAAAGGTGGGGGTAAACAGGGAGTGGACAGAGGATCTTCAATCTTGGGGAGCCCTAGGATTTGGGAATCCTAGAAGGAAGATATCCCCCTTACTATTCCTACATTATTTCACATTAAGGCCAGCTTTGGAGGCACTACTATCCCTGGCAAGACCTTGGTTTTTCATCTCAGTTGGGAGGAATTATCTTTCAATGTCTGCCCTGTGCCAAAAAAGAATTGGTTGACATTCCACCATTTCAGGAGGTAGCATATGATCAAGAACCATGATACTGAGGGAAGAAGTCCAAGCTGCACTGAAGGCATTGGCAAAAAATAAGGCTCCAGGAATTGATAAAATACCATGAGATGTTTCAACAAATGGATGCAATGCTGGGAGTGCCAAGAAATTTGGAAGACAGCTACCTGGCCAACTGACTGGAAGAAAGCCATATATGTGCCCATTCCAAAGAAGGTGATCCAATGGAATGTGGAAATTATCAAACAATATCATTAATATTACATGCAAGTAAAGTTTTGCTGAAGATAATTCAAAAACAGAAAACGAACAAATCTGTCTTGGAGGAAGTACAGCCAGAATGCTCCTTAGAGGGGAGGATGGCGAGACTTCATCTCATACTTTGGGCATGTTATCAGGAAAAACCAGTCCCTAGAGAAGGACATCATGCTTGGTAAAGTAGAGGGTCAGCAAAAAAGAAGATGACCCTCAGTGAGATGGATTAACACAATGGCCGCAACGATGGGCTCAAACAGCAGTGATTGTGAGGATGGCACAGGGCCAGGCATTGTTTCATTTGTTGTACACAGGGTTGCTATGAGTTGGGACCAACTCGACAGCACCTAGCAACAACAACAACATTTGTCCTGTATCCCCTCCTTGGATGTTTGTGTTTAGGCCCATTATGGTTGCAGGAGACAGGCCCCATCCACATCAGGAATCTAAAGTTGTTTGATAGTGCTGACATCTTGGTAGACATTTTATTTTTCAAATTCCTAGGACATGGTAAATGGAATTATGTTCAGTGTTGAGAAGCTGATCAAAGATTTGAAGTCCAAAGAATTCCCAGAAGCCAGAGCCTACCTTCGCATCTTGGGAGAGGAGCTTGGCTTTGTCAGTCTCAATGACCTACAACTCCTGGGAAGGCTGCTGCTCAGCGGCATTCGCACTCTGCAGGGGGTCCCCCAGATGGTAAGTAGACCAGGCCCCACCAGAGGACCAGTGAGATTAGCCAGTGCTCTTTTTAGGTCTCCCAGACCCACTTAAGATCCCAGACACACAAACCAGGGAAAGTCCTTGTACTTCTTTCCAAGAGGCAGTTTTGTCTTGAATGTCAGTGAAAAAAATTCTTGAGTCAAATGAATTAGAAGCATCTAGAAATCAAACTATTCATAATGAGTATCCCTGTTAATAATATTTGTTTATCTGGAAAACAACATTAAGCAAACCTTCCCCTACATGTGCTGCAGATTCCTTTTTAATATTGAAATGATACAATAATTATGAAAGAAATTATTTGGTAGACTGTAATCCACTATCCAATGTTATCTATAACTTTTTGTTATTAATTTATTATTAAGAAAGAAAATATCCAAACATAGTTCCTGTGATCTGTTAAATAATAATGTTGGCTGTAAGAAAACAGAGCTCATATTATGTATGAAAACAGATTTTAAGTTATGGAAGTGTTATAAAAAATGCATGTATACAATTATATACATCATCTCAATAGCTCCTTGGTTTCAAAAAATTAGTTTCTCCATAATATAATATACTTCAAACAAGCTCTGCTTTACATCCAGACTCCAAACAACCAAAATAATTAAGCCATGCCATGTAATGACACTTAGATTTCGTAACTCTCTGAGGTCCAGCAATATTCTTAAGTGCCTTCTGAATCACCAATTAAAAATGGTATGATATTCTATCCAGAGCAGCTTCTCATATTCCAGTTCATTGAAATCAGTAATCATTAATCTTTGTTTATCAGTTCAGCTAATCAAAATATGCTAGTCCTTCCCCTCTAGATAAAGAGAAATTATTGTCCACTGTACGGGAAGTTGCATTTAGCAAAATCCACTTCAACAAGGCTTACTTCTAGTCACTCTCCCTGCTTAAATCTACAGATCGGAGAGGCCATAAGGAAAGGCTCAAAGAACGACTTGTTTCTTCACTACATCTTCATGGACAATGCCTTTGAGCTCCCCACCGGAGTTGGATTGCAATTGCGAGTATCCTCATCTGGAGTCATCACTCCTGGGACCAAGGCTGGAGTGAAACTTGAAGTAGCCAATGTAAGACATTGTTCACTTTTTGATTCCATACGTTGTTCTTTTCCTCCAAGATAGGTTTCTGGTGCAATTTTTAAATGTGTTTCTAGTTCAAGACAAAGTGCATCATCATTTTAAGCACCTTGTTAATTGTTATTAAAAGTGTTAAGGTTCCCCCAGAATGGTCTACCTCACTAGCTCCAGTGTAGTAGGGCTAAAAACTCAGCTTCTCTCTCAATAAGTGAGAATTCCCGTCATCTTTTCATTCTCTTATGCTTGAAGTTCACTTGGGTACTTCCTAGTCCTGGATGTCAGTGTAGCCTGGCTCTAGGGAACTGAGAGCTTGGCTTTTCTTCCCCTAAATAAATCACAATAATGCTTCCTGAGATGTGAGTCATCTAGGGACGAGAAAGTGGTTGATCTGACTGTTAGGGGACTGGGGTATTTAACAAAGCTGCAGAAGTTGTTTTCTGGCTTATAGATGCAGGCTGAACTGGTGGCAAAACCCTCTGTGTCAGTGGAGTTTGTGACAAACGTGGGCATCATCATTCCGGACTTCGCTAGGAGTGGGGTCCAAATGAACACCAACTTCTTCCATGAGTCAGGTCTGGAGGCACGTGTTGCCCTGAAGGCTGGGCAGCTGAAGTTCGTTGTTCCGTCTCCAAAGAGGCCACTCAAGCTGTTCAGTGGCAGGTAATTCTTTCAGCCAGATCTATCTGCTTAGCCAATTTGAAAGAGAAAGTTGAGACTGTACCTGCAGGCTTTGGCCAGGCTAGACAGCTATTGAGATAATTCAGGCCACAGTGAATTTGGGGGTTTCTGGATTACCTATTTTTAACCTAGCCTAGACTAAGTAATTACTCTAATTTTCACATTTACTAAATTATCCTGTATCTTTCTGCATCAAGACTTATTTAATACCTACTGGCTAGTTAGTTGTTGTTAGGTTGTTCTTGTTTTTCTTTGTTCTGAGAATGAAGAAACACTAGCGCTAGAGAAATCATCCTTGGGAAATGAACATTTTTCCCAGGAAATAGACCAATGAACATACCATGTGTTAGCTAGCGCAGTGGGCATGGTTAAGCACTCTGCTGCTAACTAAAAGGTTGGTGGTTCGAACCCACCCAGCGGGTCTGTGGGAGGAAGACCTGGTGATCTGCTCCTGTAAAGATTACAACCCAGAAAACCCTGTGGGGTGGTTCTGCTCTGTCACATGGGGTTGCTATGAGTCGAAATCAACTTGATGGCACCTAACAACACGAATAAAAGCTCAGTGAGTAAAGTATGTAATCTTATGGTTAAAAAATGCAGCCTCATATTGAGAGCTCTATTTTCAATGATACCCATTCCTTTATTCATTCAAAACTAGTGTTTAATTGCCTAATATATACCAGGCATGTTGAGTAAGACACACAAGGTCCCCAAATTTCCAGAGCTTGCAGTTTACAGGAAAGACATACAATTTAACAAGCAATAACAGTGAAGTGAGGGCTAAGTTAGAGGACTTATGAGGGTAGCAGGTAATTATATGTCAGGTAGTCTGTGATAGTTATGGAAAGCTTTCTGAGGAAACTGATGCTTAAACTGATGTTTGAAGGCTGTGTCAGAGTTATCCAGTAAAAAAAGATAAGAAAGCGTGTTCCAAGCACAGGGAAAAGCAAGTGTAATGGCCTGGAAGAAAAAGAATATGGTTAAAGTAACTGAAAGACATTCAGTGTGGTAAAGTGCACAGGAAATTAGTGAGAGATGGCTGTGGAGAGATTTTCAGGGGTCAAGCCAAGACGAGCTTACAAACCATCTTAGGAAGTTTGGACTTCTTCTGAAGGCAAAAGATTTTAAAAGGAAAGATAATGTTGGTGTATTAGAAGAAATACTCTGACTCCAGTGTGAAAAATGGATGGAAAGAAAGTACAACTAGAGACAGGGAGACCAGTTAGGAGTCTGTTACAATGATAAGGTTGAGAGATGATAATGGGCTGCACCAGAGGAGGGCCGGGGTGTAGAGAGGAGGGAACAGACACTAGAAAGTGCTAGGAGGTGAAACCATGAGTACTTAGTGATTGCCTGGATATGGGAGGTGAGGAAAAGGAAAGAGGAAAGGTGGGTGGGGGTGCCCTTAATTGAAATAGGGACTACAGAGGGAGAGCAGCTGATTGAGAGGGAAGATGACAAGTTCAGTTTTGGATATGCTGCAATTGAAATCCTGTGAGAAGGCCAGTTAGAAATATCTAGCTGGAAATTGGACCTGTGGGTCAAGTACCTCTATTTGCTGGTGATTCCCGAATCTGTATTTGGAGCTCAGTAAAGATTTTGGAATTACCAGCATATAGAGGTACATAAACAGCGACAATACATGTGGACCTTGCCAGATGGAATACACCAGAATCAAAGTGACTACATCTGTGGAAAGAAACTATGGAAAAGCTCAATATCATCAGTCAGAACAAGGCCAGGGGAAGACTGAAGAACAGACCATTAATTGCTCATATGCAAGTTCAAGTTGAAGCTGAAGAAAATTAAAACAAGTCCACAAGAGACAAAATACGACCTTGAGCGTATCCCACTTGAATTTGGAGACCATCTCAAGAATAGATTTGACTCATCAAACACTAATTACCAAAGACCAGATGAGTTGTGGAATGGCATCATACATGAAGAAAACGAAAGGTCATTAAAAAGACAAGAAAGAAAAGAACAAAATGGATGTCAGAAGAGACTCTGAAACTTGTTCTTGAATGTAGAGTAGCTAAAGTGAATGGAAGAACTGATGAAGTAAAAGAGCTAAACAGAACATTTCAAAGGGCAGCTTGGGAAGAGAAAGTAAAGTATTATAATGAAATATGTAAAGACCTGAAGTTAGAAAACCAAAAAGGAAGGCATTTCTCAAACTGAAAGAACTGAAGAAAAAAAAAACTCAATCCTTGAGTTGCAATATTGAAGGATTTTATGGGGAAAATATTGAATGATGCAGGAAGCATCAAAAGAAGATGGAAGGAATACACAGAGAAACTATATCAAAAAGAATTGGTTGATGTTCAACCATTTCAGGAGGTAGCATATGATCAGGAACCAATGATGCTGAAGGAAAAATTCCAAGCTGCACTAAAGGCATTGGCAAAAACAAGGTCCAGGAATTGACGGAATACCAACTGAGATGTTTCAACAAACGGATGCAGCTCTAGAGGGACTCACTCGTCTATGCCAATAAATTTGGAAGACAGCTGCCTGGCCCACTAACTGGAAGAGATCCATATTTGTGCCTGTTACAAAGAAAGATGATCCAACAGAATGCGGAAATTATCCAACAATATATCGTCAATATTAGATGCAAGTAAAATTGTGTGTGTGTGGTGTGGTGTGGATGTGCTGATGTGTGTTTAATGGGAGAGACTTGAACCTGTTTAATGCTGATAGAAAGAAGCCAGTAAGAGACTGCAGATGAAAGAGAGCCAGAGGACCTCTTATCTAAATGGCCTTGAATGAAGGAATGAGCACACCTGAGTTCAGATCATAGTGATCCAAAACTTAACATCTCTGAGCCTTCATTTCCTCTATAAAATGGGAATCTTAATCTCTACTTTTCAAGTTTGTTGTAGGGATTGCTGATAATAAACAAAGAATTTAGTAGAATGCTTGAAATATAAGAGTGACTATGACTGTTAGTCTTACTGAGATTGTTTACATTATTATTTTTTCTCAATAAAATAATTCAAGGTGAGTGTGGACAGAGGGGAGAGAGACAGGAGGATAAAGGGTTATTTGTACCACCAGAGTCAGTGATGTTCGTTTAAGAGTCATGGCTTGAAGATAACTCAAGTTTTTTCTTTCTTCACCAGTAACACATTGCATTTGGTCTCTACCACCAAAACGGAAGTGATTCTACCGCTGATTGAGAACAGGCAGTCCTGGTCAACTTGCAAGCCTTTCTTTATTGGCTTAAACTACTGCACCTCTGGTGCTTACTCCAATGCCAGCTCCATAGACTCCGCCTCCTACTATCCACTGACCGGAGACACAAGGTCAGGCATGCTGGGTGCTCAGCCCAATGCTTACCCACTTCCACATTATGGCCACCTAGCAGGGCAAAGGAAAAAGTGGTGTGTGCTCTAGGCCCCTGTCAGTAAGGGATTTGCACCATCCTTTGATTATGTAAAACAGTGATCCTCTGCCCCAACCCACCTAAGGCGTGTTCACACTTCTACCAAAACTTTGACTCTAGGACTGGATTTCTCCAGGATGGGGTGGAGGTAAGAAGGTAGGGTTGGAAAGTGGGGAGTCATGACCCCTAGGGAGGTCTGTAGCTCAAAAAGATAACCCAAGGTGATTCTGTTATACTCCGTTGAGGGAACTACAACCATCACAGTTGATAATCATTGCTTTAAAAGCACCTGCTTGTAGATGGTGTCCCCTCATTTTTCCTTAAGCATTACATTAAGAGATCATATTACAGATTCTAGTGTGCTTCTAATTCAGTATCTGTGTTTCTGAGCCTTTAAACACATTGGTGTGGCCTTTCCTGGAGCTCACTGGAGTATTTGCCATGCTTAAGGGCTTCTTGCTGTCTTCCCACTCCCTCCTCCCCACTTCTACTGCTTGTCCTCACCTTTGCTGACACAGCCAGCCAACTCTTGCTGTGCTTGTCCAAAAAATCCTGGGAATCTTTACCTGGAGCTCTTGGAAGGACTGAAAGTGACCCTAAAGACCATCATTAGTTAAGGGCCAGAGACAATGTTAAAATAAGAGCCATCTTTTTGTTGTAATTAAGGCTGAGTGGTTTTGGGGACATTAGAATCCTCATTGTAAAGCTCTAACATTGTGGCTACACTGTAATACCTTTAGATTTGAACTAGAACTGCAGCCAACGGGAGACGTAGAGCAGTATTCTGCCAGTGCAACCTATGAACTCCAGAGAGAAGGTACAGCCTTGGTGGACACGCTGAAGTTTGTAACCCAGGCAGAACGTAAGTATCCAAAAAGGGCTCCTCCATTGCAGCCCTCATTCTCAGGTTTAATGCTTTCAACAAATATTTATTAAGTGCCTGGTAAGTTTTGGTTCCAAGGGCTGGGGCTAGGACAGTGAACAACAGAGATAAAGTCTTTGCCCTCGTGGAGCTTGCTGAAAACAACCAAACAAATATTCAGAATGTCGGATCAGTTCTGGGGAGAAAAATATAGCAGGGAGGGGTCTAGGGAATGCCAGAAGTTGGTGGAGGACGGAGGGAAGGCAGAGCCATTTGGAATGATAAGGGAAAGCCTTACTGGTCAGGTAAGCATAAAAAAAGAGAACTGAAGCAAGTAAGGGAATAAGCCCTGTGGGAAAGAATGTTCCAGGCCAAGAGGCCAGCAGATGCAAAGGCCCTGAGGCTGGCTCATGGCTGCCATGTTTGAGGAAGGGGAAGGAGGCCAGTATGGCTGAAGCAGAGAGATCAGAGAGGAACGTGGTAGGAGATAAAGCTAGAGAGAGAAGGGGAAACAGGAGAAAATGGTCTTGTAGGCCATGGTAAGAACTTTGACTTTTACCATGAATGAAATAAGAAGCCACTGGAGGGTTTTCATTATTTGATTTATGTTTATGTTGAGAAAAGACTGTAGGAGCAGAGAAACTTGTATGTAGCCTATTGCACTAATCCAGGCAAGAGATGGTGGTGGTTTGAATTAAGAGTGTAGCAGAGAAACTATGAAAAGTGGTCAGATTCTGGCCATATTTTGAAGATTTGGCTGACAAGATTTGCTTATATATTGGATGTTGAGTGTAAGAGAAAAAGAAATTGGGACGACTCCCAGTTTTGTAGCCCGAACATCTGAAGAATAGAGTAGCCATTTACTGAGATGGAGAAGGCTCCTCGATCGAGTGCTCACGTTGGAAGATTTTTATGTAGGGACAGTATGTCACACAACGAAACTAGAAAAACAAAGCCCACAGGAAGAAAGAGGGGTACATACTGAAAGAAAAATTACGTAAATATTTTACAAATGATATAAAATGGATGAGCCTAGAAATTAAAGAAAGCCTGGGAGTGTTTTTACAAAGAAGTGATGATATGAGAGACGGGAACCCAGGGTAGGAGTGGACAGGAGCCAAGAGAGGCCCCTTGGATGATACTAATATAGAGACATGGGATATGCCTGCCTTACTGTGCCCTGAACATGCCGAGTATTTCCCATATCAGGGCAGTTGCGTTTACGATCCTCTGCTTGGAAGGCTCTCCCCCCATATATCTGCATGTTCAGTCCCTCTCTTCATTCAGGTCTCTGCCTTCATATCCCCTTATCAGAGGAAACTTCTCTGACTACCACATATAAAATAGCACCTCTTCCATCATCATTTTCTATCCTCTATCCTCCTATTCAGTTTTACTTTTCTTCATAACCTTTATCACCATCTGACATAAATAATTTTCTTATTTATTGTCTGTATACCCTCCCCCCACTATAATGCAAGCTCCAGGAGGGCCAGGACTCACCAGTGCCAAGGGCAGTGCCTAGCACATAATAGGCAATCAGTAAATATTTGTAGATTGAGCAAATGTATGAACACCAATGAGTTAAAAATTTAAGGTAAAATCCTAAACTGTGTCCTCATTTAAACCCAATAGGTACTTGTAGTTCTTCTGCCTTTTCCTGTCCTTCCTTCAAACATAGCTTCTTAACACACATTTCTTAATGCTCTTGTACACTCTTCCAGGTCTGGAGCAGACTGAGGCTACTATGATGTTCAAATATAACCGACAGAGTATGACTTTGTCCAGTGAACTCCGAATTCCAGATTTTGATGTTGACTTTGGTACAGTCCTCAGAGTTAACGATGAATCTGCTGAAGAAAAAAAGTCTTACAAGCTCACTTTGGACATTCAGAGCAGGAAAATCACTGAGGTCACTCTCACTGGCCAAGCAAGGTAAAGAAAGTTTAGGGTGATCTGTCCTGAGCTGTTCTTTCCATTCTTTCTCTTCAGCTGTAAAGCTGGCCTGCAGATTGTTACCAGGTCTGCAATCCAAGAGACATAAAGCCCTCAACATTTTGACCCTCCACACGTGTCCAGTTGGTCCTTCCTACCATTTGCTGGGCACTTACTATTCATCAGGAATTGTGCTGAGCGCTTTAAAGAAACTGTCTCAGTTTTTACAATAAACTACAAAGAAGGAATGAGTTGTCCCTATTTTATAGATGAGAAAATGGTAGCTCAGATAGGTTAAATAACCTGGCCAAGGCAATGTTGTTGTTAGCTTCTGTGGTGTCAGCCCCCAGCTCACGGCCACCCCGTGCACAATGGAACGAAACGCTGCCTGGCCCTGTGCCATCCCCATGATCATTTGGGGATCAGACATTGTGATCCACAGGGTCTTCACTGACTGATTTTTGGAAGTAGATCAGCAGGCCTTTCCTCCTAGTCTTTCTTAGTCTGGAAGCTCTGCTGAAACCTGTTCAACATCATAGCAACACGTAAGCCTCCACTGACAGACAGTGGCTGTATATGAGGTGCATTTGCTGGGAATTGAAACTGAGTCTCCCACATGGAAGGTGAGAATTTTATCAATGCCTCATGGCCAAGGCAATAGAGCTACTAATAGTAGAACAAGATTGAAACCATTTTCAAAATCTCCCCCCATCCCCCTCCATACATCCCTGGAAAGTCCTGAATTTGTGCTGGATATTGTCTTTAGAAGTTAGTGAGTATGGATTATGGTAATTTCTCTGAGCCATTCACATATCTGGTTTTTATTACCATAAATGGAACTTCTGTTTAATCCTGCGTATCTCCTTGGAATGCACAAATTCTTTGATGTCAAATGATTTTCTTTTCAACAGTTGCGACACTAAGGGAGAAGGCAAAATCAAAGGTGTTATTTCCATACCCTATTGGCAAGCAGAAGCCAGAAGTGAGATCCTCACCCACTGGTCCCCTACAAAACTGCTCCTCCAAATGGACTCCTCTGCTACAGCTTATGGCTCAACGATTTCCAAGAAGGTGGCGTGGCGCTATGGTATGTGCCTCTTCCCCCAGATGAGGGCTTCCAAGACCACTGTGCCCTGGAGTGCAGGTGTTGAGAACCATTAATTAAGGGCTGACCTGGCACCATTTACAACTGTTTCATATGTGCATTTTCAGATGAAGAGAAAATGGAATTTGAATGGAACACTGGCACCAATGTGGATACCAAAAAAGTGGCTTCCAATTTCCCTGTGGATCTCTCTGACGTTCCTAGAAGCTTGCATACGTATGCCAACAGCCTCTTGGATCACAGAGTTCCTCAAACAGACATGACTTTCCGGCACATGGGTTCCAAATTAATAGTTGTAAGTATAAATCAGCCAGTCAATAAATGCATGGTTATAAGTACTAATTACATACTCAACTCTGAATTAGGTGCAGGAAACTATCCACAGATGTATAAGGCATGCTTCCTGTCCCTAGAAAATTCTTGGAGAGAAAAGAAATATTCATGGATGCATAGTTACCTAACGAATAAAGCTGTATATGGTAAATCCCAAATGAATACTACTAAGAGGAAGAGCTGGTTACACCAAAGTTACCAAAGGAAGCTTCAGGGCACTGTCTAGGAACCTGACTATGCTCTCTATTCCTCTTATAAAATAGAGGAAGACATCAGTGAATCATAACTCATAATTTTCTGTGATTTATTTTAACTTTCAGTGCTTTGTCCTGCTTAATAATCAGTCTATCAAATCTAATGTTCTTTGAGGCTCATCCATGTCTGTTATTCTAAAAAACTTCTCTCATTTTGTAGGCAACAAACACCTGGCTTCAGAAGGCATCCAGGAACCTTCCTTATGCCCAGACTTTGCAAGATCACCTCAGTGGCCTAGAGGAGATGAACATACAGAAAATGGGATTGCCAGACTTCCACATTCCAGAGAACCTATTCTTGAAAAGGTAAAGGAAGAAACCAGAAACGTTTCTTGAACCATGCAAAGTAAATGGAAAACTTTACTTTGGCATGATTTTGATTTTTTTAATTTGCATTTTTAATAGAAACAATTTAAACAATTTAATCACTGTAGCATAAACACTTTTGCATCTTTGCTATATGGTACGTGAGGTCTGAGTGTAAATGCCAACCAGTTGTTAGGAACCTAAGAACATAATTGGGGGATTCCGGTACATTCACCCTTAGATGTTTTATTGACCAAAAAAAAAAACCAAACCCGTAGTCATCGAGTCAATTCTGCCTCATACTGACCTTATAGGACAGAGTAGAACTGCCACATAGGGTTTCCAAGGAGCGGCTGGTGGATTCGAACTGCCAGCCTTTTGGTTAGCAGCCAAACTCTTAACCACTGTACCACCAGGGCTCCACATTTTATTGACAGCAACTATAATTTTCACCTGTAAACCTAAATTTGAAATCCATTCAGTTTTCTTCCATTATAAATAAACTCCCTCTTCATTCAGGATTAGGATGTTCTCATAATTGTTTTAACTTTGAAGAATTGAAGAGTAGCTAGAGGAATTATTGACTACAGGCTGGCTTTTGAGGTACAAGGGGTCAGAACAGCCTCAATTAAACATTGAATGAAGGCAGCATTCTAAGAGCATATTTCAGTTTAATAGTATACATTTAGTCATTACAGGGAAGTCAGATTCCAAACTGTTTAGTCCATTTTTATATTTACAGAAATGCATGTAGTGCTTTGATTGCTTTATTTCATGAAAATATTTTAAAAAATCAAAGCACAAGCTGAAAAGTCTTTTTTTAGATTGACTGTTTTCTGTATCATTGGAGCCCTAGTGGTGCAGTGGTTAAGAACTTGGCTGCTAACCAAAAGGTTAGCAGTTTGAATACACCAGTCACTCCTTGGAAACCTTATGGGGCAGTTCTACTCTGTCCTATAGGGTCGCTATGAGTCTGAATCGACTTGACAGCAACGGGTTTGGTTTTTTTTTTTGGTGGTTCTCTGTATTATTTTTAGGGTTTAGACAACAAGTAGCCTGGGTCACCTTGGCCTTTCAGTCTTCTATGGCTGAGCAGCATAGTTTAATGGAAAAGAATATGAAAGGGCTGAAGTCGGCCAAAGCACTCATAGAAACAGAGCGTATTGAAGATGGTAGAAAATCTAGCAGTGCAGAGAGCCCAGGAACCGTCCTTCATTACAGGTGTTTCTGACCCTCAGTCTTCTCTGTGCTCTGCTGAAAAGACAGGGCCACAGGGCCTTAGACTTAGACGAGATCTTCATGGTTATCAATACATCCTCTTACTGAATGTTGGGGTCCTGGGTAGGCAACGTCCAGTCCCTGCTGAAGTAATACAGCGAACAAGAGTTTATTTGCCTACAGCCTTTAAACCCTGGTGTCCTACTTCATTGTTAGTTATCACAATAGTCGTTTGTATATGCAGAGTATTGAAAAGATTTCAAGGTGCTTTTAGGTATTTTTCTTCATTTGATATCCAAGGCCAGTTCTGTGAGGTCAGCAGGAAGTGTTATAATCCCTGCTATACAGATAATATCCCTTAGACTCAGAGAGGTTAATTCACTAAGATAGCATAGCCAATTAGCAGAAGCAAAAACTATAACCCAAGGTTACTGACTCCCATACCTCTTCCACGTATCAAGTTGCTTCAATTCAGTGTAACAGATATTTATCAAGTGTCCCCCATATGCAAGATACTAGCCTTTGTAAAGTGAAAAGACAGAAACTGGATAAGACATAGTCCTTCCTTCCAGATATATTACTTTGTGTGGACACTGACAGATGAACAAATAAATATTGATTATATAAGCAAAGGTATGCCATGTTTTTTGAGATAGGTATAAGGGACAATGTGACTGGGACAATGTGACTATAAGAGGGAGAGAGTTAACTATGACTTAGCGGGGAGGGTAATGATAAGAAGCACTCTTGGAAGAATTTTGAATGGATTCGAGTGTTTATGACAGGTAGAGGGAACAGCAAAGGGATTCCAGGCATAGGAAGTAGCATGAGGAAAAGTGCAGTGTGGGTTTCAGAACGGGGCATGTTCAGTGTCACTTGAAAGAGCAGAGGGCAGAGAACTCTGAGTCCCTGATGTCTGACTATGAGAACATTCTCTTTGTTGTTCATTTTAGTGATGGCAGGATCAAATACACCTTGAACGAGAACAGTATGAAAATTGAGATTCCTTTGCCTTTTGGTGGCAAATCCTCCAAAGATCTAAAGATGTTAGAGACTGTTCGGACACCAGCGCTCGATCTCAAGTCTGTGGGATTCCACCTGCCATCTCAAGAGTTCCGAATCCCTTCTTTTACCATTCCCAAGGTGTATCCACTGCGGGTACCTCTCTTGGGTATTCTGGACCTGTCCATGAATGTCTACAGCAATGTGTACAACTGGTCCGCCTCCTACACTGGCGGCAACACGAGCACAGATCACTTCAGCCTGAAGACTCAGTACCACATGAAGGCCAGCTCTGTGGTAGACTTGCTCTCCTACAGTGTACAAGGTGAGCCATGCTGGGCTAGGCCCAGGTTCTGTAGCACAGAGTGGAGCTTACATGTCCTCTTCTCTGTCCTACTCTTGCCTTGCTCTGTGCAGGCACATTGTAAACGTTCAGCATAACCATCCTGGTTAATTAATATAAATTAGCCAGATATTTTCAGAGATACCCACAACAATTCACCTGTTACTTAACGTTCCTATTACTATATTTCCATGAAAAAGGGCAATGGCTTAGTCTCTTATCCACAGAACTCAAGGAAACGTATAGAGTTTAGGGAGATTCTGAGTTACACAGAACTCTCATTTACACTGATTGAATTCATTGCCAGAAAATTGTTCAGATTTCCACAGTTTTTATTTTTCCAGTGGAAATCGACCCATTTCTTTTTCTAAATTGTTCCAATGATATCAGGCTAGTTACAGTGAAAATATAGAAAGGTAATAAAAAAAGATAATTCAATAGGCCTTTTATTCTTGAGGTCACAGATTTGGCTGATTCCCTCTCTTACACTTATTCAAAAAGCACAATTGTTCTGGTGCCACGTAGATGTAGAAATGTAAATTTTCCATTAAAAAGTCCACAAACTTACTTTAAAATTGAAATTTCAGGAAAGTACAAAACGTGTAATACTTATTTTTAGCCCCTTGTTGAGATTCAAAGTTACATTGCTAAGGAATAAAAATTTCATTACGTATTATCTGCCTTGTTTACAAGATTTGGCATTTTGAAATAGATGGGCTTGAAAATAAAATCCAGTATAATATATACATACTTACACATATATATATGCATATACATATATATGTGTATACATATATATGCATGTATAAAAAGAAAAAAAAACATTGCTGTCGAGTCGATTCCAACTCATAGCGACCCTATAGGACAGAGTAGACCTGCCTCATAGGGTTTCCAAGGAGCAACTGGTGGATTTAGACTACCGACCTTTTGGTTAGCATCCAAGCTCTTAACCACTGTACCACCAGGGCTCCATATATGTATAGATATATATAATTTGTTCTTGGGGTGGGGGCGGCGGGGAGTACAGAGAACAAATATCATCCTCTTTATACAGATTATGAGATTGAGATTAGATGATTTCTCCAGAGTCATATAGCCAGTTAAAGGTAAAGCCTTCAAAGGAAAGGGATCAAAGGAATGTGTCTTGTTTTATTTTGCTTCAAATTTTCAGCAAAACAGAAAAGGCTAGATGTTTTCCCCCAGTTTCCATGTTCCTAGAACTTATCTCCAGGTAGCTCTCTGATGTGCTTAGGGACCTAGTTCAAAAGAACAAATCTGAGAGGTTGGTCAGGTTCCACTTTATACGCTAGCTAGGAGGGCTTGGGCAAGTTACTTTTTCTGTCTAGATCTCCATTTCTCTAAGTTTGCAATGATAAGATTGGATTAAATCAATATTTTTTAAACGTTTTGAGTAGCAGAACCAGTTTGTCAGATGAAACTTGATATAAACCCCAATTTGTAAAGCAGATTGAAGCAGAGACATTCTGGCTGAGGGCATTTGGAGGCTTGCTTGAACTCTCCTCATTTCACTACAGAAGCACCTGGCATCACCATGAACCTCCAGGTCGACAGAGTTTTAAAACTCAATGGACAAGATTGTCTCTCAGATCACTTCTAGTTCTAACAACCTGTAGGTCTTGCCAAGAAACTTCTACAAGCTTATCAGTTCTTATTTCCTTTCTGTTTGGCATTCAAGCCTCCTAAACATCTGGACTCACTCTGTGTAACTAACATTTATACCCAGTACTACCTGAAACAGAGCTTTCTGTCAGACTGCTCTCCCCGGGTAGTCCTTAGCCTATCTCCATGTCTTCTCCTACCTAGAATGCCCTCTTATCTTCCCCTTCACCTTCTAGTCATGCTCAGTCCCCAGCTCCTTCCTCATGAAAGCCTTTGTTGAGCCCACCCACCCTCACTAATGTTCTTTCTTTAAATACCAATGGCTTTTAGGAGCTGTGTTTCCCAATTCAGGTGCTATCTCTCACTCTTACCCCTGCCTCATAGGAGTTAGTCCTGTCTCCTCAATTCAAGTGCCACTTCTTAGAACACAAGGATCATGCCTTTGACTTTCTGGATCCTTCATGGTATTACAGTTTTCATCACTTAGTTAATATTTAATAACTGTATTATTAGCTCTAGAGCAGAGAAGTAAAGATGTTTCTTTATCACTCAATAGAAATAATAGCATCCATTTGTGTATTTCCTTTTACTTTAAGAAAGACATTTACATGTATTATCTCATGCAATTCTATCAGCAACACTGTGATATAGGTATTATTAGATACATTTTATAGATGAAGAAACTGAGTCTGAGGGTAGTGAAGTGACTATCTCAAGGGGCTGGCATTCCAGGCAGGAAGGTATTGAAGTAGGCAGTGGGCACAGGGCTGAGGCAGGACCCTGTGTGGCCAAGCAGGGCCAGGAAGAGGACTAATCTGCTTTGAGAGGAAGTTCTATGAAGACTGTAGTGGGGGATGAGGTTAAAAACGGAAGTAAGGGCCAGATTATAGACCTTATCCTGAAGGACAACTATTAGCTAAAGGGTGTAAGGGAAAATTCAGTGCACTCTCTAATAGGAGAGCCTTCTCAGAAGAGGAAAGGACTTGGGCTTTCTTACAGACATTTTTCTTGCTACTTGGAAGCCTTTTCATTCATTCATGCATTCAACCAATAGAAATATTTACTGAGCACATAATATCTATCAAGTATTCTACTAGGCAGTGGCAGAGAAAGCAGACAGATAAGCCCACAGCTATAATTCAGTGTGAGAGGTACTATGATAGGGTGTAGTGTGTATGTATAAGGTACAGTGGAGGTACTTGATAAAGGAACCCAACAAGATTTGTGGTGGTCAGGGAAGGCTTCCTGGAGGAATGCCCTTTACTAACAGGTTTTATGTTTGTGTTATTAGATGGAGGAGACTATTGCATGGCAGACCCAGATAAATGGGACTTTATTACTCAAAGACTTTCAACATAGAGATTATTCTTGAAAACTTATTATTTAATTTAACCAATGGCTTTTCATTTTTGTAGGATCAGGAGAAACAACATATCACAGTAACACATTTACATTATCATGTGATGGATCTCTACGCCACAAATTTCTGGATTCAAATATCAAATTGAGTTATGTAGAAAAAAGTGGAAATAGTGCAGCCTCAAAATGTTTACTAACGTTTGATGCAACTAGTCCCTGGGGACCACAGATGTCTGCTGCAGTTCACTTGGACTCAAAAAAGAAACACCATTTGTATGTCAAGGAAGTCCAGGCAGATGGGCAGTTCAGAGCCTCTTCATTCTATACTAAAGGCACTTTTGGCCTGTCTTATCAGAGGGATCTTAACACAGGCCAGCTAACTGGAGAGTCCAACCTGAGGTTTAACTCTTCCTACCTCCAGGGTACCAACCAGATAACTGGAACATACAAAGATGGAGCACTCTCCTTCACCTCCACCTCTGATCTACAAGGTGGCCTCCTTAAAAATACAGCTTCCCTGAAATATGAGAACTATGAGCTGACTCTGAAATCTGACACCAATGGGAAGTACAAAGACTTTGCCACTTCCAACAAGGTGGATGTGAGCTTCTCTAAGCAAAACGCATTGCTTCGTTCTGAGTATCAGGCTGATTACAAGGCACTGAGGTTCTTCACCCTTCTTTCTGGATCACTCAATTCCCGTGGTCTTGAATTGAATGCTGACATCTTGGGCACTGACAAAATTAACAGTGGTGCTCACAAGGCAACACTAAGGATTGGCCAAGATGGAATGTCTACCAGCGCAACTACCAACTTTAAGTATAACCCACTGGTGCTGGAGAATGAGCTGAATGCAGGGGTTGGCCTCTCTGGAGCTTTGGTGAAATTAACAACAAGTGGCCGCTTCAGGGAACACAATGCAAAACTCAGTCTAGATGGAAAAGCCACCCTCACAGAGGTATCCTTGGGCAGTGCTTATCAGGCCATGATTCTGGATGTTGACAGCAAGAACATCTTCAACTTCAAAATCAATCAAGAAGGACTTGAACTTTCAAATGACATGATGGGGTCATATGCTGAAATGAAACTTGACTATACAAACAGTCTGAACATTGCAGGCTTATCACTAGACTTCTCTTCAAAACTTGACAACATTTATAGCTCTGACAAGTTTTATAAGCAAAATTTTAATTTACAGCTCCAGCCGTATTCACTTTTAACTACTTTAAACAATAACCTGAAATACAAAGCTCTAGATCTGACCAATAGTGGGAAATTACGGCTAGAGCCCCTGAAGCTGAATGTGGGTGGTAACATAAAAGGAGCCTACCAAAATAATGAGATAAAACACATCTACACCATTTCTTATGCTGACTTATCAGCAAGTTATAAAGCAGACACAGTGGCTAAGGTTGAAGGTGTGGAGTTTAACCATCGGCTCAACACAGACATTGCTGGGCTGGCTTCAGCCATTGACATCAGTACAAACTATAATTCAGACTCATTGCATTTCAGCAATGTTTTCCGCTCTGCAATGGCGCCATTTACAATGACCATTGATGCACATACAAATGGCAATGGAAAACTGGGTCTCTGGGGGGAACACACGGGGCAGCTGTATAGCAAATTCCTGTTGAAAGCAGAACCTCTGGCCCTTACTTTCTCTCATGATTACAAAGGATCCACAAGTCACCGTCTCATGTCCAAGAGAAGCATTGATACTGCTCTTGATCACAAAGTCAGTGCCCTACTTACTCCAGTTGGGCAGACAGGTACCTGGAAACTGAAGACCCAGTTGAACAAAAATGAATACAACCAGGACTTTGATGCTTACAACACTAAAGACAAAGTAGGTGTGGAGCTCAGTGGGCGAGCCCTGGCTGACCTCACTATGCTAGACTCACCAATTAAAGTGCCATTTTTACTCAGTGAGCCAGTCAATGTCATTGATGCTTTAGAGCTGAGAAATGCTGCTGACCAGCCCCAGGAATTCACTATTGTTGCTTCTGTGAAGTATGATAAGAACCAAGATGTGCACACCATCAACCTCCCATTCTTGAAAATTCTGCCACAATATTTTGAGAGAAATCGAATAGCTATTATAGCTGTACTGGAAAGCATACAGAGAAAATTGAAGCACATCAATATTAATCAATTTGTGAGGAAATACAAAGCAGCCCTGGACAAAGTCCCACAGCAAATTAATGACTATCTGAATGCAGTCAGTTGGGAGGCACAAGTTACAAATGCCAAGGAGAAACTAACTGCTTTCACAAAAAATTACAGAATTACAGCAGATGATCTACATATTACATTGAGTAATGCCAAAACCAACTTAACTGAAAAACTGTCTCAACTGCAGACATATATGATACAATTTGATCAGTATATTAAAGATAATTATGATCTACATGATTTTAAAATAGCCGTTGCTAAGATTATTGACCAAATCATTGAAAAATTAAAAATTCTTGATGAATATTATCATATCCATGTGAATTTAATAAAAACAATCCATGACCTATATTTATTTGTTGAAAAGATTGATTTTAACAAAATTGGAAGTAGTACTGCAGCTTGGATTCAAAATGTAGATACTAAATATAAAATCAGAATCCAGATACAAGAAAAATTGCAACAGCTCAGGACACAGATTCAGAATATAGACATCCAGAACCTTGCTGAGAAGTTAAAACAACAGGTTGAGATTATTGATATCAGAGTGCTTCTAGATCAGCTGAGAACTACAATTCCTATTCAAAGAATAAAGGACATTATTGAGCATGTGCAATACTTTGTTATAAATCTTATTGAAGATTTTGAAGTAACTGAGATCATCAATGCTTTTAGAGCCAAAGTTGATGATTTAATTAAGAAATATGAAGTAGACCAACAAATGCAGTTTTTAATGGATAAATCAGTACAGTTGGCCCACCAATATAAGTTGAAGGAGACTCTTCAGAGGATAAGCAATGCCCTAAAACAAGTTGAGATAAAAGCTTACTTTGAGAAATTGGTTGGGTGTATTGATGATAATGTCAAAAATCTTAAAGCATTGAATTTTGAAAAACTTATGGAAGAAGTAAACAGATTCCTTGACATGTTAGTAAAGAAATTGAGGTCATTTGATTATAACCAGTTTGTGGATGAAACTAATAAGAAAATCCGTGAGGTGACTCAGAGAATCAACGGTGAAATCCAGGCCCTGGAGCTACCACAGAAAGCTAAAGCCTTAAAATTGTTTGCAGAGAAGGTCAAAGCAGTGATATCAATCTATCTGGAAGACCTAAAAAACACCAAAATAACCTTACTCCTCAATTGGCTACAAGATGCTTTCAGTTCAGCATCTTTAATTTACATGAAAGCCAAATTCCAAGAGACCCTAGAAGATGCACGAGACCGAATATATCAAATGGACATTCAGCAGGAACTCCAGCGATGCCTGTGTCTGATAAGCCAGGTTTACAGCACCCTTGTCACTTACATTTCTGATTGGTGGATTCTTGCTGCTAAGAACCTTACTGACTTTGCAGAACAGTATTCTATCCAAGACTGGGCTGAAAACCTAAAAAGACTGGTAGAACAGGGGTTCACGGTTCCTGAAATCCAGACCATGTTCGGGACCATGCCTGCCTTTGAAGTCAGTCTTCATGCTCTTAAAGGAGGCACATTTCAGACTCCTGACTTCACAGTCCCTCTGACAGATTTGAGAATTCCATCAGTTGAGATAAACTTCAAAACATTAAAAGATATGAAAATCCCATCCAGGTTTACCACACCAGAATTTACAGTCCTCAATACCTTTCACATTCCTTCCTTTACAATTGACTTGGTAGAAATTAAAGTAAAGCTCATCAGAACCATTGACCAAATGCTGAACAGTGAGCTGCAGTGGCCTGTTCCAGAAGTGTACTTAAGGGATCTAAAGGTAGATGACACCTTTCTTGCTAGAATCACTCTGCCAGACTTCTATTTACCAGAATTCACAATTCCTGAAATTGTAATCCCAAATCTTAGCCTTAAAGATTTTGATGCTCCCAACCTACGCATACCAGAATTTCAGCTTCCCCATATGTCACACACAATCCAAGTACCCACTTTTGGCAAGCTGTATGGTATTTTGAAAATCCAATCTCCACTTTTCACACTAGACACAAATGCTGGCATTGAGAATGTAACCATTTCAGTGAACAAGACAAAGATTGTGGCTTCCTTCATCGCCAAAGGAGAATCCAAATTAGAAGTTCTCACTTTTGATTTTCAAGCAAATGTACAACTGTCAGACTCTGAGATCAATCCAATGGTTGTGAAGGAGTCTGTGAAACTCTTCAGCAAGTACCTGAAAACAGAGCATACGAGTCAAGTGCTATTTTCTGGATATGCTATTGAGGGAAAGTCAGACACAGTGGCAAGTTTATTCACAGAAAAAAATACACTGGAGCTTAGTAATAGTGTGCTTCTCAAGATAAACCAACAGTTTACCCTGGACAGCAACACAAAGTACCTCCACAAATTGAACATCCCCAAACTGGACTTTTCCAGTCAGGCTGAACTGCTCAATGAAATGAAGACACTGTTGGAAGCTGGACGCATAACGTGGACTTCTTCTGGAACAGGGTCATGGAAATGGGCCTGCCCCGAATTCTCGGATGAGGGAACACAAGAATCACAAATTAGCTTCACTGTGGAAGGACCCATCACTTCCTTTGTATTGTCCAATAAGATCAATAGTAAAAATCTAAGAGTCAACCAAAACTTAGTTTGTGAGTCTGGCTTCCTTAACTTTTCTAAATTGGAAATCCAGTCACAAGTTGAATCCCAGCATGTAGGCCGTAGCGTTCTAACTGCCAAAGGCACAGCACTGTTAGGAGATATGAAGGCTGAGGTAACTGGCAACCATGATGCTCATTTAAGTGGAAAAGTTATTGGAACTCTGAAAAATTCTCTTTTCTTTTCAGCACGGCCATTTGAGATTACTGCATCCACAAACAATGAAGGGAATTTGAAAGTTAGTTTTCCATTAACGTTGACAGGGAAGATAGACTTCCTGAATAATTATGCATTGCTTCTGAGTCCTAGTGCCCAGCAAGCAAGTTGGCAAGCCAGTGCCAGGTTCAATCAGTATAAGTACAATCAAAATTTCTCTGCTGGAAACAATGAGAACAGCATGGAAGCCCACATAGGAATGAATGGAGAAGCCAACTTGGATTTCTTAAACATTCCTTTAACAATTCCTGAAATGACTCTACCTTATACAACACTTACAACTCCCCAGCTGAAAGATTTCTCCTTATGGGAAAGAACAGGCTTAAAGGAGTTCTTGAAAACAACAAAACAATCATTTGACTTAAGTGTAAATGCTCAGTATAAGAAAAACAAAGACAGACATTCCATCCCAATTCCTTTGGATGTGTTTTATGAGTTTATCAGTCAGAACATCAAATCCTTCAACAAGCATTTTGAAAAAGGCAGAGACAATGCATTAGATTTTCTTACCAAATCCTATAATGTCCTTCATGTCCCTAGGAGTCTTCGCAAACTTTCCTTTCCAGATTTCAAGCTACCAAGAACCTCAAACATTTTTATTCCAGCCATGGGCAACATTACCTATGATTTTTCCTTTAAATCAAGCATTGTCACACTGAATACCAATGCTGGACTTTACAATCAGTCAGATATTGTTGCTCATTTCCTTTCCTCCTCTTCTTCCTTCATTTATGCACTGCAGTACAAATTAGAGGGCTCCTCAAGTTTGACGAGGAAAAGAGGGTTGAAGTTAGCCACAGCTTTGTCTCTGAGTAACAAATTTGTGGAAGGCAGTCATGACAGTACCATTAGCTTAACCAAGAGGAACATGGAAGCATCAGTGACAACAACTGCAAAAGTCCAGATTCCAATTTTGAGAATGAATTTCAAGCAAGAACTTAATGGAAATACCAAGTCAAAGCCTACTGTCTCTTCAGCCATTGAGTTAAAATATGATTTCAATTGCCCCAAGCTGTACTCAACTGCTAAAGGGGCAATTGGCCACAAGCTCAGCTTAGAAGGCCTCACCTCCTACTTTTCCATTGAGTCATCTACCAAAGGAGATGTCAAGGGTTCTGTCCTTTCACAGGAATATTCAGGGAATGTTGCCAGTGAGGTCAACACATATTTGAATTCCAAGGGCACGCGGTCTTCAGTGAAGCTGCAAGGGGCTTCCAAAGTTGATGGTATCTGGAACTTTGAAGTTAAAGAAAGTTTTGCTGGAGAAGCCACTCTCCGACGCATATATACTATCTGGGAACACAATACAAAAAACCTTCTACAGCTCAAGAGCATCTTTTCAACATCTGGAGAGCATACAAGCAAAGCCACTCTGGAACTCTCCCCATGGAAAATGTCAGCCCTTGTTCAGGTCCATGCAAGCCAGCCCAATTCCTTCCTTGATATCCCTTACTTTAGCCAGGAAGTAGTCCTGAATGCTAACACTGGGAACCAGAAGGTCAGCTGGAAAAGCGAGGTCCAGTTTCATTCTGGGTCTCTCCAGAACAATGTACAGCTTTCTAGTGACCAAGAAGAGGCACGCCTTGACATTTCAGGATCCTTAGAAGGACACCTGTCATCACTCAAAGAAATCATCCTACCAGTTTATGATAAGAGCTTATGGGACATCCTAAAGCTGGACGTAACCACCAGCATTGGCAGAAGACAGTATCTTCATGCTTCAACTGCCCTTGTGTATACCAAAAACCCCAAAGGTTATTATTTTTCTGTACCTGTGCAAGAACTGGGCAATGAGTTCATTATCCCTGGAGTGAAACTAAATGATCCAAACTCAGTTCTTGTCACTCCTACATTCCAAGTCCCATTTACAAATCTTCAGGTTCCATCATACACGCTTGACTTCAGTGAAATAAGTATCAGCAAGAAGCTAAGTACTTTATCATTTGACCTCAACATGCCAATACTACCCAAAGTAAAATTCCCCAAAGTTGATGTGTTAACAAAATATTATGAACCAGAAGACTCCTCCGTTCCCTTTTTTGAGATAACTGTGCCTGAATCTCAGTTAATTATGTCACAGTTCACCCTTCCAAAGAGTATTTCAATTGGCAGTGCTGTTTTGGATCTAAATAAGGTGGCCAACAAGATTGCAGACTTTGATTTGCCAACAATCACTGTGCCTGAGCAGACTATTGAGATTCCTTCTATTAAGTTATCTGTACCTGCTGGAATTTTTATTCCTTCCTTTGGATCACTGACTGCACATTTTGGAGTGGCCTCTCCCCTATATAATACCACTTGGAGTGCTGGCTTGAAAAACAAAGGAGATCACCTTGAAACATTTCTGGATACCACATGCAGCTCAACGCTACGGTTCCTGGAATATTATCTAAATAGTAAGTAAATGTTCTGATTCCTCTCCTAGATGCTATATGTTCTCAGTGAGAATTCTAAGTAAATAATTATTTATTTAAATATGATTAGAGGCACAATTTTTCTTTACAGCAAAATTTAAAAGAACAGGGAAGGAGATACATATATACCTCACATGTAAAAACCATACTGTAGAAAACCTATTCACATTCACAAGAAGTGGATACAAAGATGAAAATCTCTCCTTCTATCTATTTATAAAAAATTATAGCTTACACATTACATGTTTCAAACATATAAGTAAGGCACTTGGTTAAGATGGACTCCTCCCAGTTTTTACAATGAAAATGTCTATGTCCTACAGTTATTAAGTCTAATAAAATATAAAATCTCTCCTATACAGTTGTGGGAACACACAAATTTGAAGATGCCACGTTTGTCTGTAAGACCCAAGGGACATTTTCACACCGTGACTTCAGTGCAAAATATAAAGAAGATGGCAAATATCAAGGACTTATGTACGGAACTTTTGTTGAAAGTTCATGTTTTTTCAAAACTCATTGTGATTTTTGCCATCTTGTTGCCCCTTTCATGACAGCTCATCTGCTTGTCTACTTTCAGGAATTGGGAAGGAGACATTCGCCTTGACATCACCAGCCCAAGGTTCACTGACGTCTATCTTCACTACCAAGTAATCGAGAAGAACCTCTCCTCCTCCGTAGCCTCCCCAGCCATAGGCACTGTGGTCATGGACTTGGGAGAAGATAACGATGCTTTTAAATGGGACTTCTACTACCACCCACAGGTGAGTCTCAGCTAATGGGTTACACATCCCAAGAGCAAATAGAGAGTTTGGGAGTATAAATTTAATTCTGTACAAAGTATTCTCTCAGGGCATTCTAAAACTAGGTGAAAGACAAACAATGAGTGGGTTGAACTTCCTGTCTGAGGAACTGTTCTCCAGAAATTATTACAATGAGCCTTCTATTGATTTTAACAGTTAGATATACACATGACATCATACTATCACTGATTATTACTTTTGGGCAAATCTAGAAAGGTGAGGTTGCGTCCCATCACCTAAATCATGGGCATACTCTGCCTTGGTTTCTAGAGTATTTAAGGCTTAAAAATTCTTCCCTACAATAGAATTGTTAGATGCGATATGCAAAATTTCTCTCATGTGGTTTGCAAGCTCTGTCACAGCCAAATCAAAGATGCCATTAACAGAGGAGAAGACATAAGCAGGTTCTATTACTAAAGTTTGTCATAGACTTGGAGAACAGATGGCTCCTGATGTTTGTATTCTAGGTCTCTGCTAGACTGGCTCTGGACTTATTCTTTTTTTGGTACACTTTGTTCCCTGCATTTGTCTTTTACTGCCTCCTCCTCCCCCTCCTTCTCCTTCTCTTCTTCTAATTTTCAGGACAAGGAAGGCCTTAATGTAAGTGTCACCGTGTAAATGCCATGCATATTTTTTTCATCCTTTCTGGGGCATGTGATAAAGAGGAACTAACAACAGTGGACTTGTTTAATCATAAAATAAACACATGAACTGACATATGAAAGATAAATTTCCTTCAGAATAGGAACGATCCTCTGATCTTTACTTTTAACTGCTAATGAAGTTTTAGTGCAGTATATTATGTAATCAGGGTAATTGAAAACATATTTTTTTCATTCTTTTTGTTGATTTTAGTCCTCTCCAGATAAAAAACTCAACATATTCAAAACTAAGTGGAGGTACCAGGAGTCTAATGATGAAGTTCAGATCAAAGTTAACTGGGAAGAAGAGGCAGCTTCCCAACTGCTAAGCTCTCTCAAAGACAATGTGCCCAAGGCCGCAGGGGCCGTTTATGACTATGTCAGCATGTACCACCAGGAGCACACAGGGCTAGACCTGAGAGATGCATCCTCACGACTGAGAAGCAGCCTGCAGAACAGTGCTGAGTGGGCCTATCAAGGGGCAGTGAGGCGGATTGATGAGGTGGAAATGGGCCTCCGGAGAGCAGCCAGCAGCATCACTAGAACCTACCAGCAGTGGAAGGACAAGGGCCAGAATCTGGACCAGGAACTGTTGGCTCAGGAGAGCCAAGCAGATTTTCAGAGACTGCAGGATATGGTGTTTGATGGCTCATTGGGAATAATTCAAGAATACCGTAGAACAGTCAAGCATCTGATTGACTCACTCATTGAATTCTTGAATACCACCAAATTCCAGCTCCCAGGGAAAGCCGGGGCATATACTGGAGATGAACTCTGCACTATAGTCATAAGAGAAGTAGGGAAGGTACTGTTGCAGGTAAATTCAAAAATCCAAACTGGGTTAGAAATACTGGTTTCCTATTACCAAGACCTAGAGGAGAAACATGAATTTATCAAGGACCTAAAGATTAAATTTCCTTTTAATTCAAGAAGCTATAAACTAATTGATGTATTTCTGAGGATGGGAGAACTGTTGAACTCTTCATCACAAGAGGCTCAAAGGGTATTTAATGACCTTCAGTCTGTCAAGAGTACAGAGACGCTAAATGATCTTCAGAGATTTTTACAAAGCATTTTCCAAGGGATAGAAAATGAAATAAACCGCCTAAAGGAGAAGAAATTTACTTATCTGATTAATGATGTACGACATGATGTCTGGACAATTTTCAATAAATATATTTCATGTGTTTTTAGATTCCTGGAAGAAAACTTGTATCTTAAACTTGGTAAGTTTAATGAACTTATTCAAAACAAATATCAAGAAGCTTCTCAAGAGTTACAGAAGCTCCACCAGTATATAAAGGCTGTTAGGGAAGAATATTTTGATCCAAGTGTGGTTGGCTGGACAGTGAAATATTATGAACTTGAAGAAAGGATAATTAACCTGATCAAGGACCTACTAGTCGTCCTCAAGGACTTGCATTCCAAATATACCAGCAGTGTCGCTGGCTTTACTTCTGAATTCTCAAGTCAGGTTGAGAAATTTATGCTCAGAGATATCCAGGAATATCTTAACATCCTTACCGATGCAGATGGAAAAGGGAAGGAGAAGATTTCAGAGCTTTCTACCACTGCTCAGAATATAATTAAAAGCTGGGCCATGGCAATGAAGGAAATCATTTCTGATTACCACCAGCAATTCAGATATAAACTACAGGATTTTTCAGACCAATTCTATGATTACTATGAAAAATTCATTGCTGAATCCAAAAGATTGATTGACTTGTCCATTCAAGAGTACCACATGTTTCTGAGATATATCACCGAGTTACTGAAAAAGCTGCAGTCGGCCACAGCCAATGACATGAGCCCTTATATCAAGGTTGCCCCAGGAGAACTTATTATTACCTTCTAATTTTTTTTCAAGTAATTCTCATTTATTCTTCTGTCCCGATTAAATTTTTACATTGTTGGGAAAATAATTCAAACAGTTTGTGTTGATACAGGCATACATTGAGCAAGGCTTTCAGAAACAAGGTGAACTTCTAGGAGTCACTTGATCAACACATGTCACAGCTGGGCAGAGAGCCAGCCCTGCAGCAGGCAGCTAAGTACAAGCAAAAGCACACGGGAACCGGACCAGCACTGAAGCTAGCATCGGGGCTCTAAAGGTCTCTGAACTCTGGGGAACTACATTTTTGCAAGTTAAACACAATTATCATCTGTTATTTTGCTAAACTTGGGGTGGGGTGGGACACAAATAAATGAATTCTGTATTATGTACCATACCACTCTATGTGGCTTCTTCATATTGAAAGAGAGCGATATGAGGGCATAGATTCCAATGTTCTGGCATTTCAAAACCTCTGGAAGAACATACACTGTGGTTTGAGTGATAGGGTAAAAGGGGAAAGAGTGAATGTGTAGGGGGACATATTTTACCACCTAAAAGGGAGGTGACTGATGGGTCGCAGGGATTGCATTTGCCCAGTGAGAAGGAAAAATTATTCACAAAGGCTTTACATAATTTGATCCTCAGGAGGGCCCACCTTATCTTCATGTGCTACATGATCTTTCTCAACAGCCAACCTGCCTTTGCCAGGCAAGGCTCTCTCTTGGGCTCTGAGATAAACCAGCAAGCCCTTTATTTCATTCAGCCTGCCAGGAGTGGAGAAGGAATAGCCAAGTAGACTAGCCCTCAGGGCTTCATGGCAGTAAGAACCCCAGAAGTCTCCCTGCAGTTCAGTCAGGCTCTCTTCAGGGGAAAGCAGGTGAGGGTGGGAGAGGAGAGATGGGGACACAAATTCTTACATTTCTGGGACAAAACACACTTTTATGCTCTTGAATTTCCTGTTTTTCCAAATCTACTATCTAGTAATCCCAAGGGTAACTAAAAACCCAAGGGCTTCCCCAGCCACACCCACTCATCTCAAACCCTGTTTTTAAACATGGGCAACAACCAATCAGAGCATCCAAGCTGAGCACTAGAAAGCAAAAGGTGCAAAGAACCTGTGCAACACAACTGTCACCGATTCCACTGGGAAGGTGAAATGCAAAAATAACACTTTCCCTTCAACGGCATTGAAGAACAAAGAGAATAAGAAATTGAAGTTTACTCCCCTCGCCCCGGCCCCCAGTCCTGTATGATGTCTATTTAGAAAAGACTCTTTTTACCCAAAGAAACCTGTAACCTCCACCATTCTTTAGTAAAGCCTTCACATTTCTTGGTGAAGCCCACTGTTAAAACACACAAGCATTACCTGGAAAAGGAAATACATTAGTTTATCGGCGCTTTAGCAGGTTTCTTCTGTCTGGAATTAAGGAACCAGAAAAAGTCTGAGAGAAGCAGAAGATGTGGTAGTGCGTGGGGCTGGCATTCAAGGAAAATCCGTTGGATAATGGATGGATGGATGTGTGGATGGATGGATAGGTGAAACAGTAGGTAAATGAGGGATCAGTTCTTCAGTTCTGAGGGTGGGAGAAGGGTGAGAATTAGTCCCAGATCACAGGGCACCACATGAATGGTTCCTGGTGTAGTTCTGTAAGAGTTTTCCTGATGAGGTAGGAGCAGCAAGAAGCTACTGAGTGTTCAAGTTGAAAGGAGGCGTGAAATTCTGGCTTAATTTGGGAAGTAAGGGACAGCGCAGGGTTCCTGATAACTCATATGAAGATATCTATATGTGCGGTTAAAGGAGGAAAAGTAGCCCCCAAATCAAACCGATCATGTAACCAACACAGTGCCCACTGCTCAGCTCCATGACTAGTGTTCCTCACATGAGATATCCCTGGCTGCCTTAGAATGTCTTCAACATGCTCAATAAAATTAGAAGGAGGGATCCTTTAGGGAGCTTAGACTGCTGTCTTCCTTCTTTGGTCTTCTAATGTGTACCAGATACTTCTCTGAGTTTGATTAATGGCTACATTTCTTACTTGCTTGTAGTTTTGGAAAATTATTTCCCCTATGTGAGCCTCTGTTTTCTTGTGTGTAAAACGGGGATAATATCTATCCTGCCTGCCTTGCAATCAATTGAAATAATAGATTTGAAAGAGTTTTATAACCTATAATGTTGTGTAGAAACAAAATGTCATTATTATTAGATGATTATTTAAATAAGTTTATGGTGAAGAGAATGGAGGCAGGGAGACCTATCCAATTCAATCAACATTCATTAAATACTTCAGAGTGCTAAGCACTGTGCAAAGGCTCTGTGGAGGAAACAAAGATCAGTAAGATGCAGTCCCTGAATATCTGTCCATCTACCCATCAAAGGTGGAATGTGTGTCTCATGAAAGGTAAAGCACTGTGAGAGTTTAAAACAGGAAAGGATGTGGACCAGGAAAGTTCTCGTGGAAAAGATTGAAATGGATCTTAATGATATGTAGGATTTTGACAAGCAGATAAAGGAAAAAGGTCATTCTAGGAAGAGAAGAAACATGGGCAAAGAAAGATAGGTGGGTGTGTTTGAAGTTCACTGAATCATATAGTTTGGCCATAGGACAAGGAAAGTAAGAGAAAGACAGGATTGGAAAGGCAGGTTTGGTAGTATTGCAGAGTATGGTAGAGGGCTTGCTGGAGAAATGCATCCAATGGAAGTTTTTGAGTAGGAGGGTGATGTGTGTTGTGATTTAGGAAGACTGATATGGCAACACGTGCAGGATGAATTATAATAAGGTGAGTTTTTACATGAGACTGTGTCAGGGTCCAACTGAAAGATAATGAAGACCTCAGCCAAGTCACAGATGCTGGGAATGGAGAGGAAGGGTTGGATACAAGAAGCATCATGAAGGTACAATTGATGGAACCAGGTGGCTGATTGTTTAGAACGGAAGGGATGGGTGCAAAAGCTATTTAAAATGGAGCTGCCCAGAGGAAGTTGCTTGTCTCTTCGAGCTTCTGCTCCTGGGTGATCTTCATGTGGCTTGGTATCTCTCTTCCCCTAGCTCTGCTTCACTTGCTTCCTTGTTTAATGTCTTGTATATCTCAAAAGAGATTGACTCAAGATATACCCTACCCCTGCCTCATTAACATGATAAACATAACCTAATCCTCATTGACTAACCTAATCCTGCCTCATTAACATAACAAACACAGCCCATTCACAAACGGAATTATAACCACAAGCAGAGGTTAAGATTCACAACACCTATTTTTGGTGGATGCAATTCAATCCGTAACACCCACATTTGAAGCCTCAATAATCTCTCAAACCAAAGTGTTTTTTGTTTTAAGAATTTGGCCTTGATTTTATTTGTATGAGGGATGCCTCTCTCTTTCTGACTGTATATTATTCTATTGTATGGATGGACCACAATCTGTTTATCCACTCATCTGTTGATGGACACTTGGGTTGCTCCCTGCTTTTGTCTACTGTGAATAATAGCAAGGACTCCACTGAAGCTGCGGCCAAGGACAGGGGTGGGGGCAGGAAGAGAAAAGTAGAGCTGCCTTGGTAAATTACTGGTGCCAGGGATCGGACTGGTTGCAGAAGAGACAAGAGGAGAAAGGAAAAAGGAGTAAAGCTACCTCTTAGTTATGAAATTTTGAAATTACCTGGGTAACTTGAAGAGCTATAGGGCATCAATAGAAAGAGGAGGAATGTGTTGAGGGGAAGATTATACGTGTAAGGCATGGACTCATAGACTATCACAGCTAGAAATGGATTATGGGATCACATAGTGAGTTTCAAGTCACAGTGGTGTATCCAAGTGGAAATCTCTAGAAAACAAATTGGAGATGTGGGCTAGAGAAACAATATCCAAAGGAATAGGAATGTAAGAGACTATTGACCAATGAGTAGATTGATTTTATGTCCTTATAAATACCTTTAGAAACTTAACAAGAAAACAAAGAGTTTTCCCTCTTGTACAAGTCATTGGCCTATTGTCCTGAGGGTGAGCCAACGTGTACATCTCCTAAGAACATACTGTGAGATGATGTGGAAAGCCCTGCTATAAACACAGCTATTCCTCCTGTAAAACAAATATTCAAAGTTTAAAACTAAAGGAGAAATGAAATAATGGAACCTAGCTTAGGTTGTCCCTGGAAACTCTGAAGCATGATCAAGCTGTGTGCTTTGGTTTGACTCCAAACCTAGACTGGTGATGCTGTCCCCAGGCTAAATCTGGTAATAAATGGGTCCATTGTGAGTGGGGCACCACCACGTGCCTTTGGAGATAACTTCCATGTTCTTCTGCTTTTCACTTGAAGGCTGTCCATAGAGGAGCCTGATTCTCTTTTTTGGTTTGATGAGTAAAGCCTCCTCTATTTATCTATCCTAGGTCCCCCTTCTGGCTTTAATTTATGGCTTAGTCCCTATTCAGTTAGAGAGGGGGCCAAGCTGGCCCTCAAATGGGGCCTGCAATATGGGATCCAGGGTGGACAAACAGATGTTCCCTCTAAAAGTGTCTAATAACCAGAGATAAATGTGCAGAAACAGACCCTACCTCTTAGCTCATCTCCTTGTCTTGCTGTTTCACATCAAGAGGTCAGCACAACTCCCTTTGTGGCTCTCCATTTGTTGGTGGGATGGTTGGGTGGTCACCAACAAATAGCATTCAAGCCCTCATAAAAGTTGGTGGAGTAGGTGCACATGTTTCTACAAGGTGAGGATACTGGCCTTCTTCTCCTGCACAAACTGCTAACCCCTCCCTTGGGTCTGAGCAGTGCATCAAGTCAGTGATGCTTGGGGCACTAGGCATTAAGCTCTGCCCCTTGTGGCAATTGTACCTCCTGGACTGGCACTACCGAGGTCCAAATTTGGGGTAAGAGTGATGGCTCAGATCTTGGAGTTGGGCTGGTACATGAGCTGCAGACTTGTGACCCACCCTCGTTTTTAAGCTAGGCCTAGGGCTCTCAGCTGTGCAACATGTGCACCAAGGCAGGCTGAGCAGAAGCATCCAGAGTTTAGATTCTAAACTAGAAAGTGGACTAAGGGAAGGGCAGCTTGGTCAATAGCCCAACTCCACCAACTCTTGCCAAGTGGACTCCACTTCTTCTCTTTTCTCCCATCAGATGGAGTCCACCCGGGCTATAATCTAGTTCCCTGTAGAACAATGATGCCCAGGACAGTTTCAAGAGAACTAAAGCCCTTATCCTGGGACTGGGCTAGATGGATCCAAGCTGGAATCAATAGAACATTCCTGGAATTACATGACACATTGAAAGATCATGGAAGGAATAGCAAGGAGAGGGCAGAGTACTTCCCTGTAGCTCTGCTGGGCTGGGATAGGGAAAACTGAGGGCACCAGCACTTCCCTCTCTTCAGAAGAAGGCCCCGGCTCTGGGGCCAAATTCTAAGCTTCACTATTCATGAGTTATGTAACCTCAGTAAAATCACTTGATTTTTCTAACCTTCAATTCCACCTTTAAAATGAGATTAATGAAAGATTTGGTTGAGCTACTCTAAGCAGGAGTAGAAAACTGGTTTCCTCTTATGTTATTGGATTGTTATAAAGATTAAATA